CATGTGCGACTATACAATAATCAACAACAGCACATCCTTTAGCAGATATTGATGTAAAATCATTCTTTATATAATTTCGACCATTCAATAAACACATGTTACTATCTATCAAGAAATCTAATAACTTGTCACCATAAGCGTTACAAGAAAAATCAACAATATTTCTATCTGGCAAATCGTCAACCCCAATAATAAAATCACAATTGTCTCCAATACGACTATTAAAATCTCCACAAATATATAATGGACAATCATTTTGATATACATATATACTAGATAATAGGGTATCATAAAAATTATTAACATCAATTTGTCTAGAAGAGTTATTAGGTGGCAGATAGCATACACATGTGTAAAATTTTAACCTTGAAAGTTTATCTGAAAATTTTAACCATAGTATGCCTTCAAAACTGCTATCAATAATTTCTATATCATAAAAATCCAACATTTCCTTTTTAATTAAAAATCCAACGCCCCCTGAGCCCGACCTTGCATTTATATGTAATGATTTACGATTATTACCAAACCAAACAAACCCTGGTAATTCAATAATATCATTATTACACAAATGAGTCTCAGCAATACCTAAAATGTCAACATTTAAAAACTGAACACATTCTCTTCTCAAAATAAAATTGTCACTGTCTTTAACGGTACTCCACCCATTTACATTCCAGAAACCAGAAGTCACCTATCTTCTTCCTCCACGTCCTTGCCCTCTATATCCTTGACCTTGACCCCTTTGACCTCCATGTCCTTGTCCTCTGTTGCTTTTCCCACGACCTTGCTGACCCCAGTTCCCCCGACCGCGATGACTAAAACCCGCGTTACCCTGTGAGGCACTATTCGAAGGTAATTGACTATTGCCTGCTTGATTGGTATTGTTGCTCTGAGTTTGTGTGCCTGTTTGATAGGTATTATTATTCCGAGTTTGTGACTCATCATAGCTAGAGAAATTTTGAAATGACACCTACAAAACATTTAATAAAAATCAGCAGACGAACAGAGAAAAGAAAATTTCACGATAAAGTGGCATAAAAAATTAAGTGATAGACATTACTTTGGGAAGCAGTAACCGTCATTGACTGCGTAACGTTGAAGCACAAGTTGTACGTTATTATTATGACGTTGACGTCAATAACTTTTTGGGGTGCGCCGCTGTCGCCGACATGTGTTTATGTAAAATTAAATATTGTTGAAATGTAAGAAGCTACTCGTGTTTATTTGTTATAAATTCTTCTAAATAGTGTAAGAATTTCAAATTAATATCTCAAATATATTTTACGCAACAAAGAAAGTCCACGAATTTTTGGATAACCCCTCGTATATAGAAAACTTGAGACGTCCCGACACCCCAAGACCTTTGTTAACCTTTCAAAAAGGTGAAAAGATTAGCATATGGACTGAAAAATATCGGAGTGGGTGAAATGCAACCAGTTTATGTTCGTTACATTTACTATTTAGAACACGGATAAACGGTTTGCAGTTTAGTGTTATATCCTTCACCCCTTCGATTTGTTGTATAATGTCAGTAGTGGGAAATGGATTGATTTTTTCATAACTTTTTTCTGATAAGACGGGGGATTAAACAGTTTGTGACTGCTTCTTGTTAAACTTGCATGTATCAATTTGTTACAATTAACCACGGACCTCACGCTTTCTAAGCGAGCGAGTAAACCCCTCGACCATGTTATAAGATAACACCTGAAGAAAACCCCATATTTCTAAATTAGGGTTTGTAACCATAAATTTTGTTCACGGTAAACATGTTGTTAAACACTGATGTAAATAATCATGGAGCTTAATATAAGCATGTATATCTATAAAGAATAACACAATATTAGACATCTTCGACCAATCGGGAACTATTTTTTCTTCCCCGAGAATGCTCGAAAATTAATGCGCCTGTCATTAGACAATCTTTACTCAGTGATCTCCCTTTAAATTTTTCGGCGTTAATGTACATATAAAGGGAAGTAACCGCTTCGAGGAGTTTGGACTACTTTTGTTTTTTTGCAAATAAGCACATCAGGGTCCGAAATTTCGCTAGCCCAAACAAATAAAAACGAGTTGCATGCATTTATAATATTGTATGTGCAAAAGGTTCTTGCCATAAGGAGCGTGTTTTTACAAGTTAGCAAATTCAACTACTTGAACGTTTTTAACAAATGCAAACCGCGCACTAGCCAAAAAGTTAAGGTGTTTGCCCCTCAACACTGGTATCTAGACTATGAGCCCTTCTATAGTCATGACCATGTTTCATCATATTAAACCAGTTCTCTTATATATTTTTCAAAACAGCTTTACCTTTATTATCAATAATAGTTTGTTTTTGTTACACTGTGACAAAGGAAAGGCCATACTGTATCTTCTTACATTTACTAGTGGAGAAGGGCTTTCGTTCATTACTTCTAGCAAGAACTGGCACCTCTGTAGAACCGCTAACCTTCTGCAACCTACCTGGATAACTTCCTCACATGAAGGAATCTAAAGTCTCGGCGGTGGGAGGCAAGTAATTTAAAGTCTTCGAGTATAACAATAATATGGAAGTCATATACAGGAGATAATTTATATTAACATTATCTGGTGTGGGTAAAACATTTTTCTGCAAGTGATTGTCACATGGTTGCAAAACTTCTTTATTAGTTTGCTAGTAAACAGTTAATTGTTTCAAACTGTAAGTGAATTGTCCAACCATAATACTGACATGTCTTAGTGATTGGCATCCTTCTTTACAAAGACAGAAAATAAAAGAAAATAAACACAAAAACAAACAAGTATTTAAACTCATTTTAATTCAATAAAGAAAACTGATATAAATAAAAAGTGTCTTACTTAACAAACAAAGTGACCATCAAAAACAAACGTAAAAATTCAGCTTAATACTACAGATTAAATCAACATCATTTAGATTAAAAACAAATCAAATCCTGATTCAACTTCTTAATTGTAGCTTGATACAGGACTCTTAATAAGTAATAAGAATAATGTTTTGATGCCTAAGGTGTTGTGATAGTCAGCAACAGCCACAAGTTATGTTCTATTCAGATAGTCTTGAGGAGACGTTGCATAACAAGAAAATGACACTGCAAAAGCGGTTTAGACAGATAATGACTTTACTATTCAATAAGTTTGACTATAAAATAACAAACAGCAGGCAGGGTGTTTTTATGTTATTTTTTCAAGTTTCAAAACTAGGAATATCAATGCTAGAGTTATGGTTATTTGTCAGTGACAAACAATTATGACCCTGAAGACACATACATTATTTAAGAGTTTGAAATGTATTCTTTCAGTTGTTGGAAAATAGAATATGCATGCAAAATCATAACTTAGAATTCAAAAATAATTCGGCAAAAACAATTCTGTCAGAATTATGGGTCAAATGACCTACAAATATAAGCACGCAATAATTGTGTGAAGTTTCAAATAAAACCCTTCAGAAGTAGTTTATATAAGGCAAATTAGATACAAAGCGAAGCACAATACCATAACCAATTGAGGGCACGGAAACTGGGTTAAATAGCCACACTATTCTTCGGTTTGTCAAACTAAGTTTGAGAATTGAAATCTGATGGTAAATTTTAATGGACTGATTTGTCCATAAAGGTTTAAAGCAACATACAGACAGGTGAGCAACAAAACTGAGACAAATATATGAACAACAAAGTTTCCCGTACTTTAAGAAAAAAATCCCTGACTTTTAAATCACTGACGAAGTAAAGATTTCCACAGAATGGAACCAAGTTACTTATAAAAAGCGGCCTCCACCTCCCCTACAGCCGTCCATTTCAACCAATACAATTAATTATAATACAAAATTTGCATATTCATGTAACATAAAACTGATATGCATGTACATATGTACAGAGTATTACTCAATGAAGACTTACATTCACTAAATCATATTTTAGTTAACAAGAGCCGCTGCAAGTGGGGGCCACGCTAGATATTAAAAAATAATAAAATATATATTTTTTTAATTTTGTTATATTGTTATAGACTTTAACAATATAACAAAAATAAAAAAATATATATTCTGTTTTAATTTGTTGATATTATATTACATGAATATCAAATCAAGATTAAGCATATTTTAGGTCAAATCAACGCGACTAGCACATTTGCATGCAAGTGACTTGGTAAGATTCATTTGCCGAGCGCGAATTTTCAAAATTTTCAGTCTTCATATGCTCGTCACGTGTCAGTCTAGAAGCCTGTCCATTGGTTTTTATTGAAAAGGACATCACTTGACCTTTTCGCACGATTTCAACGTGTGTACAGTTAATTGCGTGCACAAGCACCTGTTAATCCATTTAATTTCGGTTTGTATAGAACGCCATAGCTGCCTTATATGCACATTTCTATAGCGGTGATGTCCGTTTGATAAATGGTGCAGTGGTGATTTGAATAAAACGTTCCACACCCGTACTGTTTACTCTAATATATGTAAATTTACTTGTTTAATGTGGACCTTTACTCTATATATTTGTATAAATATAGTCTTCAACTCCTAGCATTAAATTACTATTTGTTTACATGTTTAGTTTTGATCGAAATACCGCATCCGTTCTGAGAATTCCGAGGTCCTTAGACTGTAGACAAAGGGCCGAACAGTTGCGGTTAGGCATAACTCCGCCTTAATGTAACTGAACGAGTTCAGTCGTTTTTCTTTAGCTTTGTTCAATTTATTATATGTTTTTTTATTTTATTTTATTCGTTTGAATTATTATTATATTTTGTACTTACACAAATTTCATTATTTACGATATTATGCTCTTGTTTGGGTTATGTTCTTCACTTTTATGCCGATATAATATTATGTTAAAAATGTGTCATTAATCTATACATGTTTAAGTTAATCATCCCTATCTGTTCTTATCTGGGACAAAGCTGGGACAAATAATAAAGGTTATTCTTTGTCTAAGCTCTTATCTATACCATCAGTGTCTTGCGTGATCGCACTATCAGCTAGTCTTGGTTTTTGTTTATAGTGAAATCACAATCAGCAGTTGCTTCAATCAACGATGAGAAATTTTGTTTTATATTTTTCGTTCTTTTTTCTATCACTGTGCACAGCCTTTCCTGATAACGAAAAGCCTCAAAATTGGGATTATATCATTCAGGAAATTTTAGAAGAAAACAAGGTTTTGAAAGAACGCCTTGATGTACTGCAAGATTGCTTCACAGTCCTAGAAGAGAAGTGTGCGTGCTCTGGAAAATCGACAAGGGGCGAAACAAATCCTGAATCAGAATATGAAGAGGAAAACAACATCGTTCAATTGCTTTCCTCAGACATTGAACACCCTAGTACGACAGACTTTACAGCTAATCTCACAAGTGGCATCACTACAGGAATATCAGTGGGACAAGGGCACGGGCATCTATTAAAACGTTTGTTGTTTTAATATTGGTAACGTTTTCAACTGATCATTTAAATTTGATGATTGTTCGTACTTTTAAAGAAATATCACATAGGTTGAAAATAATATATAATCACAAACTTTGATAATAAGATATATTTTACTGGTATATGAAAGTCATGTTATTATATAAATAACACATGGGTGTGTGGGTAACCCCGAGGAAAATACTGTCACACTCGACTACGCCTTGGGTAACAGTACTTTTATGAGGAATGATATTTTTACTGTTACTCACAAACCCATGTGTTATTTATTTTAATATTCCGAACAAAAACTGTGATAATCTGAAATTGTCAACTAAAATCTAACTGTAACAAAAATAAACCAAGTTTACTAATAACTGAACTGCCCTTACCTTTTAAGTTTTAAGTGAACTGTAGACCTACTTGAGAAGTTTTTTTTTCTTTGTTCTTTAAGCAAGTGATGATATCTAGCAGTCATAAACATACAATAAGCTGTGTTTTCTTTAGAAAACAAAACACTAACCCATTTATACGGTTATGATCTGTGAAATATTATCCTTCTGTATCCAGAATATTCTTCGCATGGTTTTTGACAAAGTGCATTTATACAATAACGGTTATATCTTATATCTGTCCACCATATCTGTAAATTTCACTGATTAAATTTGTTGAAAAATCCTTTGCTGCATGCTTTAATCGTCTGCATGTTCCAGTTTGATACATAATTATTCACATTTCAATTACTCCCGTTCAAAACGGATGTTTACTTTTTGACTATTCAACAAAAAGATATTTTTACTCGAAAAGCACTCTAGGGTGCAAAGAACTAAATATTATGGGTGTCATAGTTACTCTGGTGATGCCCGATCGTGGTGAACTTCGAAAATAAGAATGAATCGAGAAAAAATGGCGGCCATTTTATTTCATTTTATATAGAAAAAAGACCACGTGACCAGATTTTTAACTGTAATAAAGGAGTACTGTTACCTATGTAACAGTACAAAATTCTTAGTCTCGCCTTTTTTATCCCCCTTTTTTGTTGTCTCAAATAGTGAACAAATGCCTAATTTAGGACCCCAAGACTTGTTTTTGTTTGAGAAATGTTGTTTAAAAAAGTGACCACTTTTTCGGCGCCGCCCCTATGCAAAAGATACATCAGGATGTTGCCATAAGGGCGATGGGGGATGTGCCTCATTCTGTTTTGGGTGTTTGAATGGGGCAGCAGCCCCTCTCCCCCTCATCGCCAAGAACATTTTGGTCTTCTGAGAGGCTAAAAATGACCCCAGATCGATCATAAGGTAACGTGTAACAAACGCTGAAAAGCCTTTGACTCTACCTCAATCCATTGAGAAGTTGCAGCACTTTGAAATCAGTTTTGATAGGAAAAATCAACGTAAAACAGTGTATTTGGCAGTTTTCACATGTCCCCCCCCCCCCGTTGCCATGGTAATAGGAAATTTAAGACTGAGCATGTTGTTACAAAACAATGGTCCAGTGAACATTTGTGCCACGTTTGATTAGTATTGAAGCAGTTTTTATAGTTTTATAGCAATTTGAACTTTTAACGGGAGACTTTTCCATGAAAATAGCCATTTTTCACACTTTGCTGAATGCAGTTCTGGGTTAACAGTAAGAATAACTCCCAGAGGCCTATGGGAAATTAACATAACACAAAATAGAAGGGTAATAAAACAAAATGAAAAGAATAATATTTTACATATTACTATTCATGAAGAGTAAAGTTCTGATCCAATAAAGCCTCAACGCCGGTAAAAATGTTTTTTTCCCTTTTTTTCTAGGTATATCTGAAAGTGAAGTTGCTTTTCATGCGTATTTGAGTGGCAACCGCTGTTACAATCATCATGAGATATTCATTTTTGACAGAGCACCTGTTAATCTTGGAAACGGGTTCAATGTTAACGACGGAATCTTCGATGCCCCGGCCACAGGTATCTACGTACTTAGCTGGACAGTGGCTGCACCACATGGGTCATGGTCCTCGGCAGAACTGATCATTAATGGAGCAGTTCAAGGAGTTATCGAGTCAGACTCGGACTTGAATGGAAGTGGTTCTGGGGTTCATCCGGCCACTGGATTGGTTTTGGCTAACGTAAACGCAGGAAACCACATTTACATCCGCTATATCAAGGGGGCAGGCTGCACTGTTAGAAGCAATTCATATACTCGCACTTCCTTTACTGGCTGGTTGTTAATATAGATGAAAATGGTAAATAAATTTAGATGTAAGAAGAAACGTGTTCCATTATCTCCAGAATAATATATAGTACATTTGTAGTTTACTTTATCTTTTCTTAGGTAAATTCGATATTGGTTCAACGTACCCGTTTGGAGTTATTTGTGGTGTTTATATTGTATCACTGCCTTCAGTCACAGTCACTTTAAAATTATTAATTTTCGCCTATGCATATATAGACTCTTAAAAATAAACAGCTAAATGTGAATAATAGCGAGTTCAATAATAAAAGCGGAAGTTCTGCGTGGTACGCTAGTGAGTTCTACCAGACTAACTTAAAGGGCACGGGGTCAAAGGTCAATGTCATCAGGGTTTGAAAGCCCACCGAGGACATTGTGTTCAGTTAAATGTAGCGCTTATTCTTTAATTAATGGACATTGACACATATACTTTACAAATCAGATTTAAGAGATATTGTTGCAAACAACAACAACAACAACAACATCAACAACAACCCCCCCCACCCCCCCCCACCCAAACAAAAAACAACAAAAAAAAAAAAACACAAAAAACACGCATACATTTTAGGCAATTGATAAAATCACAATCACAATTCAACACTTTTCGTTGTTAATCGATAGTTTGTCTGTAATTATAACAAATGTGTGTGTCTGTATATCAATAACAAGTGAGATACATGTATATACATAAGTGGATTTTTTTGCCCTCTTAACCACAGTCTTTCCTGAAACTTAGACAGACACTACACTTAACAACTTTTCTAACCCTACCATGCAGTAGCATTTTCGCAATAACTTTAAAACTACTGAAAGGAACTGAAATGCAGAAACTGTCAAACCAACAAAGAACGATTAGTTTGATTAAAGGTGTTGCGAGTTACAATGTTGTAAGTGTTCGTTTACTTAAATTTTGCCAGTCCTTATAATTTCGTTTTCAATAACACTTTTTTAAAAAAGAAATTAGATGTAACTTAGGCCATTTTCAGAAGCTTGAAAATTTTGTTAATTTTAGGTTGCAAGAATGCTGAACGTGCACCACGCATCAGTAATACGTCTGCTTCGTTAATACGACTTTCATTTTAGTAATCGTACTTAACCGATGAGTTTTGCGACTTTGTAAAGTGGGGGTTGCATCAAATAAAATACAAAATCTTCAAAATACGGAGATGTCTGTTGTTTGTTTTCCACTAAACGCTGTCTGATATATGTCTTTAACTGCCCTGAAAATTTCAAGCAATTATCCTCAATATTTTTAAAAATATTGCAAAAATGCTACTGGTATCGTTAGAAAAGTTGTTCAGTGTATACAGAAATGGTAGTCAACTATATATTTTTTCTTGACTTAACTGCAAAGAAAGTTTTTTGAAACAATGGTCTTCAAAGACTCCCCAATTAACCACTGTTATAATTATAAGATTCTCGACGATGGTTTTGAAGAAAGAAGCCGCATTTTTTTATATAACTTAGATGATAAGATGTGGCACATTGGTATCTTAATCTAATTACAGAATGCCACCATTTCGCGTAAATTATTTGACTGGAATCTGGGAGACGTCAACGTTGTGCTTTTGGGTATTCAATCAAAGTGGGCTTGAGTTAACGCTGAAGTTTCCCGCCCCTTTCGTACTACACTGTACTTTTCTTTAGCTATGATATTGTTGCTGACAATAGTAGTCTTATCTGGCCCTTTGCTGATGATTCCAATTTAATTATATATTTGATTGTTGTTCGATTGTTTTTGAAATCTTAAATGCTACAATCAAACTTCTGTAACCACTTGTTCCTCAGCTGAATAGGAACCCTTGACAGGATCCCAAAATAACCCCCAAAAAACTACGTTTTCTAGTAACCTTACAAACTGTTTACACCAGGACGTGTATTGGCCATCGCTAGAGGAGAGATGACGTATATACCGACTTAAATGTTTTACAAGATGAAGAATGGTCTAGCACAAAAATACTTAATAAACCTCAATGGACCAACTTCATCGTTTATTCTTCGTAATCCAGAGTTTGCGACCCATGCATTCCCGACCAAACCGATTAGTCTTTCTTGCCAGTTACTGTCCGCGATTGAAATATAAAAGGCCTAACTGTGTATACGCACCGGATCATGAAAAAGAAAAAAAATTCTTGCCGTCTACTCGGTTACATCACGAATTTATAAAATATAAATCCGTGGTTACATTGTTACAAATGACTTTCTTATGTCCCAGTTGCATTTGAGAAATTAATGTGAGTTCATTAACTCATAAGTTAATTATTTATGTTGATTACAAATATTGGTTATCAATTATAAATACGCATTAACATTCATTCATTCGTTCGTTCGTTCGTTCGTTCGTTCGTTCGTTCGTTCGTTCGTTCATTCATTCATTCATTCATACATTCATTCATTCATTCATTCAACTTACATCTCTGACTGGGCCTTGCTAATGTGCAATTTTAGACTATCGATAGTGTTCGCTGGCCTAAGTTAACAGAAATTGTCACGAGTATATTATTTTCCCTGTGCACCGAATATTCAGGAAGAAAAGTAAATTATTATTTTAAGTCTATACATTTCAAGCAAATTTCTCGAATTAACAGGTCAGAATGATAAGCTGTTTATATAGTTTTTTTAATGCTTTGAGTATGTTCTAATAAAAAGCATTGTCATTTCTTTTACAGTGAGATTTATAGAAAGTACAATAGTTTTCGGACGTGTCAGATTTAATCGGAATATGATCAGATGATATGGAATCTCATCTTTTGAATTAATTTACCATCCACAACCAGTGAATTAGGAGTTTAGAATCTACTCTTTCATCGCTTTTCTTTATACTGTTTGATATGTATATTAATGACACAATTTTATAAATCGAGTAAACTCTCAGAATTATAGAGATAACACTCGATCACAGATTTTATTCTGCAATGTAATGTCTTAATCAGTGTAAATGACTTTTGTGTATCATAAAAATTTTGACCCACCTGACAGTGAATTTTTACCACTGCACCTTGTGACAGGAATGTGGCAATAAGTACCAAACTTTGTGTATTAAAATTTTAGTTATGTCAAACTAATCATTAGTCTCAATATTTCGACTGCAAGACCAACCAATTATATAATCAACAGCTTATATTGGATCAACAGCTTCCTCTCACACCGTCAACAACAAGTAGTACTCGACGGGAAGACATCCTCTCCAGCACCAGTCACATCAGGCGTCCCGCAAGGCACAGTCCTACAGGGCCTCTCTTGTTTCTAGTCTACATTAATGACTTGCCGGGCAGGGTCTCCTCCACAGCATGCCTCTTCGCAGATGACTGCCTACTATATAGGACCATCAGCTCTGAGAAAGACAGCATTGCACTTCAACAGGATCTTGACCGCCTACAAGAGTGGGAGCAAGATGGTTGATGATGTTTAATCCCGACAAGTGTGAGATGATTCGCATTACCAACAAGCGGAAAGTGATAACTTGGTCCTATGCCATCCATGGCCAAACACTCAAGCAGACGAACAAGACAAAGTATCTGGGTGTCACACTTGACAATACGCTTTCCTGGAACAGCCATATTGACACTACTGCAAAGAAGGCGAACACCACCACTGCCTTTCTACGCAGAAACTTATCACACTGTCCACAGAACATTAAGGCGACATGTTACAAAACACTGGTTAGACCTCAGCTCGAGTATGCTTCGTCAGTATGGGACCCACACACCAAGGCCAACATCAGTAAGCTCGAGAACTGCCAACGAAGAGCAGCCAGGTTCTGCACAGGTGATTATCGTTACACCAGCAGCGTTACTGCAATGATGGAAGCTCTAAGCTGGGACACTCTAGAAGCCCGCAGTCAGCAAACCAAAGCAGTGATGATGTACAGAGTCATTAACAGCCTGGTGGATATCCGAGCCCATCACATACTGATCCCTGCTGGAGTACACACCTGAGGCTATGCCAACAGGTACCTACAACCCTTCACCAGTGTCAACTCATACAAGTATTCGTTCTTTTCTTCTGGGATCCGACTTTGGAACAGCCTACCAGAAGTCGTGATGACAGCCCTGTCCCTAGAGGTCTTCAAGACGAGGATGGGTGCGCTGCACGAGTAACTCTGGAGCATGGTGTTTTTAACCTGTTTTTAGCTGCACTTGATGTTCCCTTCACTCATGTAAATAGTCACAATTGTGCGACGATGCTCCAGAGGGGCCCAGCACATTACCCGGAAGAAGAAGAATATAATCTGATATTTCATAGAAGGGCGGCCATTGTCTATATATTAAAAAGCCCTAAAGTGCACAATTTGTTGGGCTAACTAATCACCTAATGACTGTTAATAAATAGTTAACTTTTTTTTTTTTATAAGTGGCTAGTCATATGGGCCTGTACCTGGTCTAGCCAAAAGTTTTAGCCATACCTAAGTCATGTTTGGCTAGCATATACACACTGCAGTGACTAGAAGTATGGCCTTTTTCAATGATAAGTAAAAGGCAAAAAAGAAGATTCAAGATTCTAACTTGCAAGTTAAATTACTAATTTGCGAATGATAGCAAAAATTAAAACATTGCTAAATAACTAGATTTACAGTATATCTATGCCACTTTCTTTATCATAATGTTGCCATACAAGATTGGTATAGTACATGTCCCATTTTTAGTATCCTTATGATGCCATATTGACAAACATACCTGTACCATTTTATTACCAATATGACAGTTAAGCCTGTTTATTGAAAAATGAAATAACTCATTTGATTTATTGCTTATATTCATGGTATTTTTTCATATGATTGGTTTGATGGTGGATATAAAGTTGTTTATTCTATATTTGATATAAAGGAAGAGAAAGTTTAACATGCATCTGTTAAAGCAGTTTCTGTAATTCTTCAAATTTCCTTGTCAAATATTAATATAAAAAATAGATATATTATAACAGTGGTGACTCCACCCCCCCCCCCCACTGTAAGTATATTTTATATTAAAGGTTGTTTTCCCCAGCCCAAAATAGGTCTACTTTCACCTAAAAATGCTGTTTTCCCCTTAAATCCCTGTACACATTTTTCTCCAGAAGCATGATTTAACCATGACATATCAGCTAGTTGATTAATTGATTGCATGGCAGAAAGCTGTCCCTGCTATGTACCATGCATGTTTAAATTGAATTAAAATTGAAAAGTTTATAAAATGTGTGGATAAATTCCATTCTTAGTTGTTAGAATTTGATTTTAGGTTTTCCCCCTTTTCTGATTTATCATGCTATATTCTCCCTCCAGGAGAAAAAAATCCCTGTATAATTAACGTGCTGACAGGGAAAGGGTTACCATGCATTATGCATTGTATGTCATATGAAGAAGTCTTTGAAATTTCTTCTTTTGGTTTTGAAAAGAAAAAATTCATTAACATTCATTTAATAGTTTTTATTAGCTCGACTATTCGAAGAATATGAGAGCTATTGTAGTCGCGTCGGCGTCAGCGTCCGCGTCCGCGTCGGCGTCTGCGTTGGTTAAAGTTTTTTGTAAAGTCAAATATCTCAATTATTGCTTGAGATATTCAATTGAAACTTACAATACTTATTTATAGTAACAAGGTACATCACATTGACAAGTTGGATAACTCTGCCTACAATATTGACATAATTATGCCCCTTTTTAACTTCGAAATTTTGGTTAAAGTTTTTTGTAAAGTCAAATATCTTATTTATTGTTTGAGATATTCAATTGAAACTTACAATACTTATTTATAGTGACAAGGTACATCAGATTGACAAGTTGGATAACTCTGCCTACAATATTGACAGAATTATGCCCCTTTTTAACTTAGAAATTTTGGTTAAAGTTTTTTGTAAAGTCAAATATCTCAATTATTGCTTGAGATATTCAATTGAAACTTAAAATACTTATTTATAGTAACAAGGTACATCAGATTGACAAGTTGGATAACTCTGCCTACAATATTGACAGAATTATGCCCCTTTTTAACTTAGAAATTTTGGTTAAAGTTTTTTTGTAAAGTCAAATATCTCGATTATTGCTTGAGATATTCAATTGAAATTTAAAATACTTTTTTCATAGTAACAATGTTCATCAGTTTGCAAAATTGCATAACTTTGCCTGCAATATTTGCAGAATTATTTGCCCCTTTGAAACTTAGAAATTTTGGTTAAAGGTTAATGGTCTTCAAAGATATTTACTTGAAACTTTACACATGTACTTAGGGTCATAATTTGATGGTCATAATTGTATGTCACTGACCAAGTTCCATAACTCTATCTTGCATTAAGGCTGATTCATATCCCCTTTTCTACTTAGTCTCTTGGTTAATGTTTACATGCAAGTTTTACATATCTCAATAACTATTAAAGATATTTATTTAAAACTTCACATATGCATTTTGGGTCATAATTGTAGGTCACTGACAAAGATCCATAATTCTATCTTGCATTTAGGCTGATTTTTCTCCCCTTTTTCAACTTAGAAATTCATGGTAAAGTTTTGCTTGTAAGCTGTTATCTCCATAACTACGGAAGGGTTTGTGCATTTTTGGGACAATTTTATGCATTCATAATAATAAAGCAGTGATTTACTTGATAAAACATCTTAATAACAAGTCTTTATACCTTTTCTTTCAAATTTATGTATTCATAGGTAATTAGTATTATTATACTCAATAAAACACCCTTGTGACATTACCTTCCAAATAGTCAAGCCAATACTGTATAATTACTCTCTCTAAGGCCTATAACATGAATTTATAAAAAAAAATTAGCCCTTTTGTGAACTCAAAATATTTAACATTATCAAGGCTCTTTTACTGTCAAGCACTTAGAATAGTCGAGCGTGCTGTCCTACCGACAGCTCTTGTTTGTTTGGGTCATCAGACCAAACAAATAATGGTAGCTAAATTTCAGAGCCTAATGCTGTTAATTGCAAATGCCTAAAGTAGTCCACTTTTTTGAAGCGGTTACTTCCCTTTTATATGTACACTAACGCCAAAAAATTCAGGGGAGATCAATGCGTAAAGATTGTCAAATGACAGGCGCATTAATTTTCAAGCAAAGTAGTTCCCGAATGGTCGAAGATTTCTAATATTGTTTCATTCTTTATAAATATACATGCTTACAGTTAGCTTCATGATTATTTACATCTGTGTTAAACAACGGGTTTAGCGACGAAATGATAAGAGTTACAAACCCTAATTTAGAATAATATGGTTGTCTTCAGGCCGTTAACATATAACTTCACCTTGGCCGAGGGGTTTGCCTGCTCGCTTATGAATCGAGAGGTCTGGAGTTCAAATCCCAGTTGAGGCAACTCATTTTTTTTAACATTTTTTAAGTCAAATAAACATTGAATTGACTATCAGTGTTGCAATTAGTCTTATAGCCAATTTACTACAGTTAAAACATTGGAAAGCATTGGTGGCACTATACAAAAACAAATTGGTTTATAATCTTGCAACCTTCACCTTTCTGACATTCTGAGACCCAAACAAATTCAGCGCCTTCTGTGCTTTGATTATCTTTGTAACAGGTACTATATATGTTAAGAAATTAGCCTGTTTTATTGTTACATTCATTATTATATTTTACTCGTATATTTTTTATACAGATATTGAACGATGGCAGCCCCAGGAATGGCCAGTAGGCCAATGTCAAAGCTGGAGTTGAGAATATCATGCAGGAAGTTGGCAAATAAAGATGTAACATCAAAGTCTGATCCCTGTGCAGTGGTGTTTGTACATCAGGGTGGTCAATGGGTGGAGGTAATTTGGTAATTACCGTATAAGTGTTTTTTTCTGCGGGCTCCAAATTCTGCGGTTTTTCCAAAATTTGGCATGTTTTTATTTCTGCGGACTTTATTTTTGGGCACATTCTTTTAACAAAACATGTTTAAAATTCTGCAGCTCATCTTATCAAGGTCTAAGTCTCATTACTCTTCCTATTTCATTTGCACGTACAAATTCGCATTAATGGTCATCACAAAAAAACCCCAAAAAACAAAATTTACAGCAATTACAAACAAATTTATGATTTAGTGGTTAACAAACATTTCGGCGTCCTGGCAAACACCTTATTCATGTATGATGTTTAAAAAAATGTATTCACAAATTGGCATAAATAACAATAAGTACATCCTTACAAACACAGATGCAAACTTAGCTGACGGCAAGTTTAAAAAAATCGATGACCCACCGACCGTTATGATCCGTTAGTCGCTATTACTTTTGGACGAAACAGGTCATAATGTAGGACACATATCGTAACAGGTTAAAAAATAAAACTTGGAGAAATATTCTGCGGTTTTTATTTCTGCGGTGCTGAAATTGACCGCAGAATACGCAGAAATAAAGTCACCGCAGAAATAACCACTTATACGGTACATGTATATTCTTTGTAGAATAAAAAGCATACATGGTCAGGGCATGAAGTTGTTTTGTTTTGTTTGTTTTATTGGGTTTTACGTCACACCAACACAGTATAGGTCATATGGCGACGTACCAGCTTTACTGGTGGAGAAAAACCTCAGATGCCCTTCTGTGAACTGTGACAGGCACAAACAGGTACTTGAGTAGAACTACCCATGTTCTGTAAGCTATCTGGATAGCTTCCTCACATGAAAGAATTCAAAGTCCCTGCCGGGATTCAAACCCACAGCGGTGAGGGGTAAGTGGTTTGAAGTCAACGACCTTAACCACTCAGCCACTGATGCCCCTATCTTGTGTATGTAGTTAATGTAATAGCTAAAACATAATAATGAAAGAAATTAATCTGTATTTTTTGTGTCAGCTCTACAGAGTAGTGGCGACATATAGGGATCACTTCTCCGTCGTCTGTCCGTCCGTCTGTCCGTCCGTCACAAAACTTGTCCAGACTACTCCTCATAAACTACTGGTGCAATTTCATCCAAACTTTACAGGAATGATCAGTACCAAGTCTAGTTGTGCATATTGTCAGCATTTTCCTGTTCAATGATTTTTGTAAGAGTTATGGCCCTTTAATAATTTTATTTTTAAAGTTTGTCCGGTCTACTTCTCTAATACCACTAATGCAATTTAAATGAAACTTTACAGGATTGATCTGTAGCTCAAGTCCTTGCTTATATTGCACGGGTTTTCCGGTTGAATGATTTTTGGCTGAGTTATGGCCCTTTGATAAAAAGGTGATTTTTTCTTTGTGTTGCCAGATACACAAAAGCTTGTAGTCCTGTCCGGACTACTCCTCATAAACTACTGGTGCAATTTCATCCAAACTTTACAGGAATGATCAGTACCAAGTCTAGTTTTGCACTGTCTGTCTGTCCGTCTGTCACAAAACTTGTCCCCACTACTCCTCATAAATTACTGGGGCAATTTCATCCTAACTTTACAGGAATTTATGTCGCCACTACTCCGATCAGTGAATAAATAACTTCTCAGTCTGTCACAAAACTTGTCCCAACATGATATTGGCCATCATGAGGCGACACATGTGATCACTGATCGCTCTTGTTATTAGCAATGACCATAATTAAAGGAGTTGTAAAATATTAAAACAAAATTTGGTCTTCTAATGTGTAGTATTTTATACATTTATGGTAACAATTAATACATTTGTTATTTTTTTGAAAGCTGTTTATGTATTGAGTAGAAAATCTAAAAATCTACATGTATTATTCCACATTTATTTTAAATTCATTTTTTTTTAGCTTGGAAGAACAGAAAATGTAGAGAACAGTTTAGATCCCGACTTTACAAAGGCTTTTCCTATTGATTACCTGTTTGAGGAGGTTCAGAAGGTGAATATTGCAGTATATGACATTGATAACAGCACATCTAAACTTAGTGATGATGATTTCCTAGGACAATTAGAATGTACCCTGGGACAGGTGAGTGTTGTTTTACCTTGAATGCATTTAGTTTATAGAAGTCGTGAATAGTGGTCATACTATTTCTTAAAATTCATCAACCAGAATTTTTATTTAAGTTCAATTATGATATTCATGATATAAAACTTTAAACTTGTTCATGTATATGATTTGTATGTCCCTCACTTAGAGGGAGGGTGATATAGTTTTGCCCTTGTCCATCCATCAAGCTGTTCATCCGTAGACTGACAATACAGGGGGAGGGGGTAATCTGTGTCCTATCTCCAGACACATGACTGTTTAGTTTTATTTAGCTAATCTTTACAATAATATAGATTGCTATGTTAACTAATAATTTGATAAAGAAAAATATTCCTTAGCCAAGTTTGGTAGGTGTTTAGGAATTTTTCTTATCTCTAGTCCAAGGAGTATAGCTGGTAGATTATAACAAAAACTGGTAGACATTCAGGGTAAGATTTTAAAATATTTTAAAAGAATTTGATACAAATTATGTTAAATGAAACTTATAAATTTATAGATTGTTGCTGGTAGACCTTTCCATAAACCTCTCCTCTCAAAGAGTGGAAAACCTGCAGGAGAGAGCACTATCATTGTAAGTTAATACCTCTATACCCTGCTTGATTTTTGTAATGGTAATGTACTATTTGGACTTGTCTTCTTTGAACTAGGATCTACCAAATATATGTTATAAAACTAATAAAAAACTGAGCAACCCAAAATCTGGTCAGTCTGTACTGATATGATGACTGACCAGACAAGACAAGTCTCATCACCGTAAACTGTATACACACTCAAATTTCATGGCTGAGTTATTGAAGATGTTGCCTCCTGTCCACATCTCCTGAATAAAAAACAGTGTTGAAGCAATGAAAATAGCACATTTTTGAACACCTCTCTGAAATATCTGAAATATAACTCATTTGTTAAGACCCCTTTGCTCCTTTTACATTTTCTATCCAGATTTTGTTTTAGTTTATAGAATGTACTATAGTAAATTATTAGACATAATTATCTTGTTATTTCTTAACAAGTTTGTTGGTTATAAAAATTCTTCATTGTTTTATATGTTAAAATCCTTATTTTAATGTTTTGAATTGATTTTTTGTATTGATGATTTTGTATGGATGATTTTGTATTGATGATTTTGTAGATTAGATCAGAAGAGGTAAAGGAAGGTGGAGAGGTTGCCATGTTTACATTCAAAGCCAGAAAACTGGAAAATAAGGTATGTATTTATATATATTTACTGAAAAATATATCTTCTTTTTAATACAAGCATTGAAAATAATACATTTCACAGGTGTAGAAAATGCATTAAAAAGTTGGTTTGTATAATGATTATGAAAATCAAGTTACATACTGTGCTGCTTTTGTGTCTCAATTAAAACAATATTACACATCAGGTAGATATGTGACATCATACGTGATATCATTTACATAAAACAAACATAGAGTGAAGTCACACTTAATGCTAGCATTACAGTAGAAGTGTGTAAATTAATAAATGATCTTTTTAAATGGTAAACAGCTCCTATTTTGGTTATATGATAAATAGAACATTATGTTTATTTAGCTTTATTTCTTAATTTTATGCTCACATAATAAAATTTTATTCAACTCGTTCAATCAATTCATTATGAAACCTCCACTTGTTCAATATAATATACTGAACTTTAATGGATGTTTAAGGAATAAATCATAATAGTAAGGTCAGTCATGACATAAGTTAAAGTTCACTAGGATGTTTTACTAGTTAGTGGTCTCTTTTTACCATAATTATTTTTTTCAATCAAACCATCCAACAAGAATATTAATGCAGAATTAATGTTACACATATATCACATGTTTTACTTTTTTCTCTATATTTAAAATACTTGGTAATGGTACATGGGTATCATTTAGTATTTATGTAAGCCATATGAGCCGTGACATGACATTTCCAACATAGTGGTCAAATTTGACATTTTACTTTTTTCAAAGATTCTCAAAATGCAATCTTTTCTAAATCATTCAAGACAAATTTTACTTTCTTTAGACAAAGAAAACTTGATTTATAACGCTTTTTAACATTATAAGTGACGTCATTTTATTTGACGGATTAAAAATGCAACGTGAATAAACTGAATCATCGTTTTGCTTGACATATACTCCTATATACATGTATCTTAGCATGTAAATTATTAACGTTACTAACGGCGAAGCTCACTTTTTTATTGTTAAAGAGTACCGAGTCAATTGTAAGCCATCTTAAGAACATGTAACGACTTGTTGCACGAATAGACATATACAAGTATATGGAAAGCCTTGACTGTCTTATTATTATAAACCTGAACGTTGTTATGTCCAACTAGCAATATATTGGGTCAACCTTTCCGTATACAATGTGCACTCATTAATATATTATGTGGATCCATCATTATATTTAGTCAACTGAACAATATTTGATGTCAATGTGTCTTTATATGATGTCAATATATCATAATACAATGTGCATTTTTGAAAATAGTATGTGGAACCATCCTTATATAAGGTCAAAATACTCAGGTAATGAATGTGCACAGAAATACCAACATTTATGTTTCAAAAAATTGCAGGAATAAATAAAAAATGAGATATCACTTTTTGAATACATTCAAGAATCATCTTATTTCCAAGACATGATATAAACATACAATTTAAGTACTGCGTAGTTGTGACATCATATCCCCAAAGCAGCACGCTCAAGATTTTTGCTCTAATTTTCATGAAAATTTTAGATATATAAAAAAGAGCCCTTGCTGTGTTAGTAACGCAGTAGAAATATGGTGAAAAAAGTCTGAATGCTCAGTCAAGCTTCGCTAATAATTTGTCTTCTTTACGAGAAATTGTTCTGGAATAATGGTGGATACAAGGTCATCTGATAGGTTCTAGGACGGCGTTATTTCCGTGAATAGTCATAAACGTTTTACTCAAAAATGTGCGTACATGTAAATAGAGGATATTTAGTTGTTCTGTAAAAATGCTATGTTATATCACACAAAGAAGTAAGAGAATTATTTTTCACGAGTGCGTATGGACATGTTGATGGATTGTCACGTTGTTGTGTGATTATATAAATGTACATGTATACCATATTGAAAAAAAAAACAAGAACAAAAAGAAAAAACAAAGCAATCAACAATATAATACAGTACTAGGGGCTATTTTACGTAGATTGTAAGTGTCGTTTGCAATATGTAAACTGCTTCCTTTGTTCACTTCACAATATTGTACTTATAAATACATTTTCCGAATTGTTATGAAAATAAACATGGATCTTGAGGTATGCTGCTTTAACGATATCATAACATTATGTTTAATAATGAAATTTTAAAGAATTTAATGATTTCAATATCTCAATACTATGTTTTTCGGGGTCATTCAGCACGTGGCTGCAATTTACTGAAATTATCCGATTTAGTCTGAATCACTCAATTTCATTCACTTTTACTTGATTATCATCCATTTCCGACTTCTTTCAACAATTTACGATGCCATAATTATTCTCAGAGACCAAAACTGGTATTGCAATAATTATTATAAAACAAGACAAACTTATTTTGGTTTATTTTCTTCCCATTTAATTTTATATAAAGCAGGAATGTATTTCAACAACTTCAAGACTTAGTGTCTTACTCACATTCACTTAACAGAACAATTGTCACTTAATTATATACTCTTATTATGTTATGTCCGTTAAGTTAAACAATGATACCAACGTAATGTAATATCTTCCTTATTCTATTGACATTAAAGTGTTTATTCTGATTTATATAATATATATCAGCCCCTACATGTTACTATATACATGTATATGATTAAAGAGAAATACTTGGAAAACAACTTGATATTGGAAATAAAATAACAATCGAAAGACTAAATGGGATTATTGTCTAATTACTTAAAGTAAGTAAGCCCTGAAACACTGTCGCAAGGACAATATATCAAGTGTCGTTTGAACAGATGAAATTAAATTTGTCAACTCATAAATTTCCTTGAAATTCTCTTTCTTACGGTACTTAAAATACGATTGAGCAAATGTCTGTCAAGGGTTAAAGGTTTCCCGAAAAAGTTTATCAGCGCACTTGTTACTTAAAAAAATGAGTTTAACAGCGGAATAATGTCATCATTGCGGAGGAAAAAAATACTTTAGTGCAGTAATTGTCATTGAATCGAGAAATATGCTTATAAATGAACAAGATACACAATACATTTATAGGGAAACTTACGGAATCATAACTTAATACGTAGGCCACAAAAAAAATCGGCAAAGCTATGTTAACAACACTATGAGTGATATAATCTGAATACTATGGGTTTTATATCACTAAATAGAAACCCAGACTTTCATTTATAAACATAAACTATTACAATGATTTGACAGAGTTATTTCTTGCATATCAGACTGGTGTTTCCGTTAATTTTACCCATGCCGGATAGTTCATCTGTCATGGGGGTGCCAGATGAGTCGCGTGCTATACAATGGCATGCTTTGGATGACGTTATTTCGCTGTTGTGAATGAAGTTGTAATTTCATACGCTTCTGTACAAAAATAGTTACAGGTGTAAGGACATAAATTTCCAATCGGATTGGAATATCCGTCCTTCGGGAACCTGCCGATTGGCGAGTCCCCTGGGGACAGATATTAAGATCTGTACAGCAACATATGACAGCTATAATTAATTTCAAGTAACAGCCGACTCTGTTGACAAAAAATATCTTATCGTTAAGCAACAGTAATACCTAAACAGGTAGCTTAGTGGGCGGAATACAGAGGCAGTACGTTCGATTCCAAATTTATTAAAACATATTTTAAACAATATCTCTGTTTTTGATTATCATTTTAAAACATCAATAAAGAAAACAACATTGTTAAATTAAAATTATCAGGTTTCGCCATAAAAGCAGAACACAAAACCTTTAACTGATCAAATCACCCATTGCAATTGTTTATTAGTCTCTGTATAGCCAAATGTATGGTAGAACAATCAAACTCAAAATATGTGTACTTCAGACATGAAATATGCTAAAATTGTGTAAATGCATGTCTGCGGGGGTTAAACCGAATGAATAGGCAAACACGAATAGGCCAAAAACAAACAAAGTATACTTAACCGTGATGTGTAGTATATCTTTATACAGATAAAGAGATATTTGAATGTACAAGTATATTGCCGGACGCTTGCATATATCTGTCGATGTTTACCATGTTCTGTTCACATACGATATAATCAGTTTGCAATTGACGTGTTAATATATATATATATTTCTGAAAAATGATAGATCAGATTATTTTTCTCTGAAAACTACACAGTGATGATTGGAAAAGCATGTGTTATATCATTAAGAAATATTGGCGTCAACTTTGACGTCGCGTTTCTACGATTACGTCATTTGACCACTATGTTGGAAATGTCATGACACAGCTCATATGTATTTATTTCAGGACTTTTTGGGCAAGTCGGATCCTTACCTACAGATTTCCAAAGGGAATTCAGATGGTAGCTGGCAAGTGATTCATAGAACTGAGGTGAAATAAGCTTTATGTTTGATCTCAATATTACTTATCTACAAACTAAAGATGCACATTAACACTTATGTTTTATATGGTTTATATATTAACCTTTTAATATTCTTTTCTTAATCAAGTAACTTTTTTCATCGGATTGACTGATTACAAATATTTCTAATTTTAGTTTTACAATTTCCAAGTTCATTTAGATATATTAGATATGAAACTATGCCCCTGATAGGACATCAATATTTTACACCCATTATTATTACAAACTTGCTGGCTGGTACATGAAATAGTAAATTAAATAAAAAAGATGTTACTATGTTATGTTTACTAACTAAAGTACAATTTAATGTTTTCAATTACAGTGTTTGTTTCACTTGTAGGTGGTAAAGAACAATCTTAACCCTAGCTGGCGACCATTTTCTCTACCTGTACATACACTGTGTGCTGGCGATAAATCTAAACCTATTCAGGTAAAACAAAAGTTTCTTTCTGTAAAGTCTTACTATTAGTTTAAGATTATCATAGAGTTTTGTTTATACTGACATTATAATCAAATTAAAACCACAGTACAATTATAGACTTATAAATCTTTATTTTTGCATAACTGGCAAAATACATCAGACCAAATGAATGATTATATGATAAATATAATTAGATCTAGAAATAAGACAATAAAATTTTGGGTATTTTGCAATTTCTTGATACTCAATATTTGATATTGAGTATAAAAGAGTGGATATGATCCGAAACTATAAAAAAAAATTTTGCTTACATATGCTGATATATTATTGAGAGTGACAAACTTTGTCAGCTTAGAATTTTTCACAGGTTATATGACCCTAAACTTAAAACACTGGTAATCTGATACAACTAGAGCTGATAGATGAGGGTTATATATTGCAAAACAAATTGTTTATACACAACCATATTAAAATGTCAATAGTCTTTTTAACATATTTATAGTTCAAACATTTTTGCTCCCTTTGAAAAATTTTTAAAAAATCATTCATGATTTTTAAATGAATGTATTGAGATACGGTTATGTACGTTATTTTAATTTTTGCTCTTTCTTACAGTTTGAAGTTTTAGACTGGGACAGTGATGGGTCACATGACCTTATAGGAGGGTTCACAGTTTCTCTGCAAGATTTACAGTCTTCTATAGGGAAAGAGGTTGATACAATCTGCAAAATTTTTCATTCATTATTTATTATATTTTGAAATGAACTGTATGGAATCAAGTTATCTATCCATAGATCCCCCTTATGACAGAGGGTTTGCCTTTAAGGGTTGAGGCATCAGAATTACAGCCACTGTTTATCCCTGAGTGATCATAAGAGACGACTAAATGGGTTTGAATTTTTGGAGTATATGCATCTCTTAGCTTCAGCAGATGATAATGGTTTTGACCCTAGGTGTTGCTTAAAAACTGTAGCATCCGAGGTTAACCAAAATCGTCTTTCCTGTTCCGGCGCCATATGACTTAAATTTTGTTGGTGCACCGTAAAAACCAAACAGAAAATGTCCAGTGATGTAAATAAAGGTTTATATTACTTTGTGGTAGACCAATTCAAAACTGTCTATGAAATGTCCCTGAAATATATTATTTTAATAAAGACAACCATTCAAAGAATTGTTTAAACTTTTTATACACTATGATTTTGCAATATAAATAGAAAACACAGTTACATACTCAATTGACTTTGCTGTTATATTCAAAGATATTTTTTTCTGTATAATAACATTATGTTGTATTTCAGTTCCCAGTTATCAATGAACACAAGAAAGCCAAGAAGAAGAAGTATGAGAATTCTGGCTACGTTATTCTAGATGCTATTACAGTAAGTTATTATAAATTTGTCTACATTTTATTCAATTTTCTGTTGAACTTTTAACCCAAAAAGTAATAATTCAGAAAAAAAGTTAGATAAAATTCCCTACTGACATAGTAAAAACAGTGAGTTACTTGTTTTTATCTCTTCTATATTTAGATGGTTGTCATTCATTATCCTTAAGTTTTTGTAGATAAGAACATCTCTGTGTCACTGAAATTTACGATTAAGTGCAATTTTTTTGTATGGCAACAGCTGTATTACAATTATGGACACAGTTTATTATTAATATATGAACTATAGACAACATATTCTTGAATTTAACCTGATATTTTTAGGTAAAGCGAGTCCCCTCATTTTTAGAGTATATTTATGGTGGAATGCAGATCAACTTTACAGTAAGTGATTCATTTTCTATCCGACTTTATATGTAGATAAGTAAAGGAACACAGTCCTCCAGTTGACAGAAAAATATTAGACTAAAAAAGTTTGCTGAAATTTTCCTTTTTCAAAAATAAGTAAAGTAAAATGAAATTTTAATAGATTGGTGGATTAAGTTATGCATTATATAAGGATGTTTCAACGATGGCAAGATGGCTAGCTGTATTATTGCTGGATTTAACTCACTACAGTGTTGGAGCAGTACCTGTAGACGAGCTTACCGAAATCATTATCACACAGTAGAAAAATATTGCTTTTTCACCAATTCTTACATTTTTCATTCATTATCTTATATAAATTGGTGTGAACAGATGAATTAGACATCTTAGAGTGCATTTCTGTGGTTGAAAAAGCGATGTTTTAGCATATAATCATTCAATCGCCTGTCAATCAGTATATACCTGAATACAGTATTGGGTGTGGTGCTCCAACACTTTTTTAGTCTCATTATTTCTGAAGCCAATATCATTATAAAGCATATGATAACATATATTATACAGGTTGGTATAGATTTTACAGGATCTAACGGAGATCCGTCAACACCTACTTCTCTACATTACATGGATCCATACAGACCTAACGAATATGTACAGGCTATACAAGCTGTCGGAACTGTTTGTCAGGACTATGATACGTAAGTTATAGCATAACATTTTGATAAGTTGTACATATCAAGGGTTGACCACAAAACTGCAGTAACTTATAAGAAATAAAGTAGGACTTACAACCGTTTTGCAATCAACCCTCGATATATAACATGACAATTGGTGGAATGTACATAACATTAAACTAGACTGAGGAACATAACTTATGTCTGTTATAATGATATTATTATTTTTTGAAGAGGGTATGTTGTATATTATAATATTATAATCTCATCAAGAATGGATTATATCAATGTCAGAACTTTCTTCTTAATAACTGATAAAGCTAGTTAAGAATAAAATCAAATACATAATACTGGTGAATAATTTGTTGTAAATTTCTTTGCTTTTTTTACTCCCTTCTAGAGATAAGATGTTTCCAGCTCTTGGGTTTGGGGCCAAGCTGCCTACTGGAGATGTTTCTCACGAGTTTGCCATAAACTTTAACCCACAGAACCCATTTTGTGCAGGTATTTTAATATGATGATTCAATTTATTTATTGAGCATTTGAACAAGTTAGAAGTACAAGTTTGTCCCCTAAAAAATTATGCAATGGTTACAATGTTAGTATTTTTATATACATGTATAGGTAATATTATATGCATTTACTATTCATATTGGTACCAAAATGTCGCCAGAATTTATTTTTAATTATTCACTATTGTTGACATATTGTTTACACAAGTGGCTTTAGCAATACATAGTGTGAAATGCATAAAAATCTATCAATGCAAGACGTTTTGTTTTTGTTTTTTGTTGTTTGTTGTTTTTTTTTCATCAAAAACATTTGAATAATTTATAAGATAAGCAATTCCTACACCTATAGTCAAAAAGTGTTAACATTTCAGGTGTGTGATATAACAGACTGTTGTGTTAGGTTTTCAAAAAGTGTTAACAGTTCACCAAATTGCCCATTCTTTGCCAAGTTACAAGTTAAAGACCCTACTATAATTATATACATGCATGGCATTTAGATCAAGTCATATACACATATTATTTTTGCAGTCTTCATGGCAAAGTTGAAGTTACTGTTAGCTAGATCATTATATTACCTGTAAAAATGATATCTGAATATTTAAAAATGTTGTTAACTTTATGTTACAGGTATTCAAGGTATTATACAAGCATATCAGAATTGTATCCCACAAGTGAAGTTATGGGGCCCCACAAATGCTGCCCCTATCATTCACCACGTGGCAAGGTTTGCCGCTGCAGCACAACAAGAAGAAGCAACAAAAGGGGCTCATGTATGTTCTGCTTTATGTCATTCAAGATTTCTGAATTTGTCTAGGTTCACTTTTATCTTATTACAATTATTTGTATACAAATGAATTAAAAAGTTTATAATATTTTAGATATTGTTAATTTTATGTAAGAATAAGTGTAAACTTTCATTGCTATTTCATTTTTGAAGAAAATGTTGGAAGGTGTTATATTAATGATACACATAATTAATCATATTTTATCATATGTTATGTGTCTGACTGCTTGCTGCACACAAATAATACAATAGAAATGATTTCTGTTGTTTTTTAGCTCACCTGTCACAAAGTGACAGGGTGAGCTTTTGTGATCGCTTTTCGTCCGGCGTCCGTCCGTCCGTAAACTTTTACTTTAAATGACATCTCCTCATAAACCACTAAGCCAATTTCATCCAAACTTTACAGGAATGTTCCTTTGGTGGTCACCTTTAAAAATTGTTCAAAAAATATTTAATTCCATGCAGAACTCTGGTGGCCATGACAACCGAAAGAAAAATCTTTAAATATCTTTTTTTAAAAAACCCTAAAGGCTAGATATTTGGCATGAATCATCTTCTAGTGAGTGTCTACCAAATTTGTTCAAATAAAAGCCCTGGGGTCATTGATTTTCCCTATATGCATATAGTAAAAACTTAAAAAGTCTTCTTTTAAAGAACCCAAAGAGCTAGAGCTAAGATATTTAGCATGAAACATCTTCTAATAAGTGTCTACCAAGTTTGTTCAAATAAAAGCCCTGGGGTCAAAATTGGCCCCGCCCCAGGGGTCATTGATTTTCCTTATATGTGTATAGCAAAAACTTAAAAATCTTCTTTGAAAACACCCAAATGAGCTAGAGCTTAGATGTTAAAAGCCCTGGGGTCAAAATTGGCCCCGCCCCGGGGGTCATTGATTTTCCCTATATGCATATGGTAAAAACTTAAAAAAATCTTCTTTTAAAGAACCATAAGAGCTAGAGCTTAGATTTTCCCTATATGCATATAGTAAAAACTTAAAAAGTCTTCTTTTAAAGAACCCAAAGAGCTAGAGCTAAGATATTTAGCATGAAACATCTTCTAATAAGTGTCTACCAAGTTTGTTCAAATAAAAGCCCTGGGGTCAAAATTGGCCCCGCCCCAGGGGTCATTGATTTTCCTTATATGTGTATAGCAAAAACTTAAAAATCTTCTTTGAAAAAAGCCAAATGAGCTAGAGCTTAGATGTTTAGCATGAAACATCTTCTAGTGAGTGTCTACCAAGTTTGTTCAAATAAAAGCCCCGGGGGTCATTGATTTTCCCTATATGCATATAGTAAAAACTTAAAAAATCTTCTTTTTAAGAACTCAAAGAGCTAGAGCTAAGATATTTAGCATAAAACATGTTGTAATGGTTGTCTACCAAGTTTGTTCAAATAAAAGCCCTGGGGTCAAAATTGGCCCCGCCCCAGGGGTCATTGATTTTCCTTATATGTGTATAGCAAAAACTTAAAAATCTTCTTTGAAAAAACCCAAAAACCTAGAGTTTAGATATTAAGCATGAAACATCTTCTAGTGAGTGTCTTCCAAGTTTGTTCAAATAAAAGCCCAGGGGTCAAAATTGGCCCCGCCCGGGGGTCATTGATTTTCCTTATATGTGTATAGCAAAAACTTAAAAATCTTCTTTGAAAAAACCCAAATGAGCTAGAGCTTAGATGTTTAGCATGAACATCTTCTAGTGAGTGTCTACCAAGTTTGTTCAAATAAAAGCCCTTGGGTTAAAATTGGCCCTGCCCAAGGAGTGTCATTCTTTTTAACTATATGTGTATAGTAAAAACTTAAAAAATCTTCTTTGAAAAAAACTAAATAGCTAGATTCTAGATATTAGACATGAAACATCTTCTAGTAAGTGTCTACAAAGTTTGTTCAAATAAAAGCCCTGGGGTCAAAACTGGCCCCGCCCAAGGAGTATCATTCTTTTTAACTATATGTGTATAGGAAAAACTTAAAAAATCTTCTTTTAAAAAACCCAAATGAGCTAGAGCTTAGATGTTTAATAAAAGCCCTTGGGTTAAAATTGGCCCTGCCGTGGGGGGGGGGGGGGGAGGGCAGGGGGTAAGGTTCATTATTTTTCATTATATGTGTGTAGTAAAAAATTAACATCATGAAACATCTTCTAATGGGTGTCTTCCAAGTTTGTTCAAATAATATCCTTGGGGTTTAAACTTGCCCGGCTCCGGGGGCCTACTGAATTCCGCGAATGTTAAGTCGCTACGGCCTAAATTACAGCTTTTGGAGACTACGTTTTTGATGCATGACCTTGCCTGTTGGGTGCTTTTAATTATATTTTTTGACAAGTCGCGCTTATAAAATCTTCTTTTAAAGAACCGTAAAAGCTAGAGCTTAGATATTTGGCATGAAACATCTTCTAGTGAATGTCTACCAAGTTTGTTCAAATAAAAGCCCTGGGGTCAAAATTGGCCCCGACCCAGGGGGTCATTGATTTTCCCTATATGCATATAGTAAAAACTTAAAAAATCTTCTTTTAAAGAACCCAAAGAGCTAGAGCTAAGATATTAAGCATGAAACGTCTTCTAGTGAGTGTCTACCAAGTATGTTCAAATTAAAGCCCTGGGGTCAAAATTGGCCCCGCCCCGGGGGTCATTGATTTTCCCTATATGCATATAGTAAAAACTTAGAAAATTTTCTTTTAAAGAACCATAAGAGCTAGAGCTTAGATATTTGGCATGAAACATCTTCTAGTGAATGTCTACCAAGTTTGTTCAAATAAAAGCCCTGGGGTCAAAATTGACCCCGCCCCAGGGGGTCATAGATTTTCCCTATATGCATATAGTAAAAACTTAAAAAATCTTCTTTTAAAGAACCATAAGAGCTAGAGCTTAGATGTTTGGCATGAAACATCTTCTAGTGAATGTCTACCAAGTTTGTTCAAATAAAAGCCCTGGGGTCAAAATTGACCCCGCCCCAGTGGGTCATAGATTTTCCCTATATGCATATAGTAAAAACTTTAAAAAATTTCTTTTAAAGAACCCAAAGAGCTAGAGCTAAGATATTAAGCATGAAACATCTTCTAGTGAGTGTCTACCAAGTTTGTTCAAATAAAAGCCCTGGGGTCAAAATTGGCCCCGCCCCGGGGGTCATTGATTTTCCCTATATGCATATGGTAAAAACTTAAAAAATCTTCTTTTAAAGAACCATAAGAGCTAGAGCTTAGATATTTGGCATGAAACATCTTCTAGTGAATGTCTACCAAGTTTGTTCAAATAAAAGCCCTGGGGTCAAAATTGACCCCGCCCCAGGGGGTCATAGATTTTCCCTATATGCATATAGTAAAAACTTAAAAAATCTTCTTTTAAAGAACCAAAAGAGCTAGAGCTAAGATATTTAGCATGAAACATCTTCTAATGAGTGTCTACCAAGTTTGTTCAAATAAAAGCCCTGGGGTCAAAATTGACCCTGCCCCAGGGGGTCATAGATTTTCCCTATATGCATATAGTAAAAACTTAAAAAATCTTCTTTTAAAGAACCAAAAGAGCTAGAGCTAAGATATTTAGCATGAAACATCTTCTAATGAGTGTCTACCAAGTTTGTTCAAATAAAAGCCCTGGGGTCAAAATTGGCCCCGCCCCAGGGGGTCATTGATTTTCCCTATATGCATATAGTAAAAACTTAAAAAATCTTCTTTTAAAGAACTCAAAGAGCTAGAGCTAAGATATTTAGCATGAAACATGTTCTAATGGGTGTCTACCAAGTATGTAGGGGTAGGGGGGGGGGGGGGTCATTGATTTTCCTTATATGTGTATAGCAAAAACTTAAAAATCTTCTTTGGAAAAACCCAAATAGCTAGAGTTTAGATATTAAGCATGAAACATCTTTAAGTAAATATCTACAAAGTTTGTTAAAATAAACGCCTGGGGGTCAAAACTGGCCCTGCTTTAGGGGTGACATTGTTTTTAACTATATGTGTATAGTAAAAACTTTAAAAATCTTCTTTTAAAAATGCCAATGAGCTAGAACTTAGATGTTTAGCATGAAACATCTTCTTATGGGTGTCTACCAAGTCTGTTCAAATAAACAAATAAAAGCCCTTGGGTAAAGATTGGCCCGGGGGTGGGGGGCCTATATACAGGTGAGCGACCTCAGGGCCATCATGGCCCTCTTGTTATAATTTTTGCCAACGGACAATTTTGTATAGAAGGTGCGATATATACCAGTAACTATTTTTTGTTACAGGCCTACTTTGTCCTGTTACTGCTCACAGATGGCGCTCTAACAGATATGGATGATACAAGAACTGCAATTGTACATGCCTCCGCTCTACCTATGTCACTTATTATAGTTGGTGTTGGGCGAGCTGATTTCTCAGACATGCGGATGTTAGACGGTGATGATGGAGTACTTAGAGCACCTAATGGTCAACCTGTACACAGAGATATTGTCCAGTTTGTGCCATTCCGAGATTTTCAGAAAGGGGACTATAATGCTGTAAGAATGTTAATACTCTCTTTATATAGATAGTGTCCGATTTTTTACAATATTTACCTCTGTTGCTTAAAGTGGCAGCCATGTTGGGTGTCAATGTTTAAATAATATTATTGACAAAATGTGAACAAAAATTAATATTAACAGCGGATTTAGATGAACTCTCAAATTCTTTTATACATATGCTGGAAAATATTATCAAAGCACCAATATGTAAAAGATTTTTATCAGTTTTCATGAAGATGATAGAATTATGGGAGGTTTTTATCTTAAGCATATGATATACATGTTTATTGGGAATGACCCCCAAAATAGTGGCCAGGGAAGGTAATAATTGCAATTGAAAAGCATCTATATGGTGTATTTATAAATATATTGAGATTTACATGTAGTTTTTATTGTGTTGCCTTGAAAAAGGCGACATATAGGGGTTACTTTTGTCGGCGGTGTTGGCGTCGTCGTCGTTGTCAGCGTCGGCGTCCCCTTAAGCTCGTCCGGAGCATAAGTCAGTCATTATAAGTTGGATTGACTTCAAACTTGGTATGCATGCTTTTTATAATGACCCGAAGTGCAGTGCACAAGAATCGGTACTCTGCACTTCTTATTTTTTGAGTTATTGCCCTTTGTTAATTTTCATACTTTATTTTTGTCCGGGCCATTTCTCCTGAAGTATAAAATCTATGGACTTAAAACTTCATAGGATGATAGATCTCATTAAGAAGAAGTGCAGTGCACAAGAACTGGTACTCTGCATTTCTTATTTTTTGAGTTATTGCCCTTTGTTAATTTTCATACTTTATTTTTGTCCGGGCCATTTCTCCTAAAGTATAAAAGCTATGGACTTGAAACTTCATAGGATGATAGATCTCATTAAGAAGAAGTGCAGTGCACAAGAACCGGTACTCTGCATTTCTTATTTTTTGAGTTATTGCCCTTTGTTAATTTTCATACTTTATTTTTGTCCGGGCCATTTCTCCTAAAGTATAAAAGCTATGGACATGAAACTTCATAGGAAGATAGATCTCATTAAGAAGAAGTGCAGTGCCCAAGTACTGATACTTTGCATTTCTTATTTTCTGAGTTATTGCCCTTTGTTAATTTTCATACTTTATTTTTGTCCAGGCCATTTCTCATAAATTATAAAAGCTTTTGACATGAAACTTAATAGGATGATAGATCTTATTGATAAGAAGTGCAGTGCACAGCAACTGCTGCTCTGCATTTCTTTTTTTTTGAGTTATTGACCTTTGTTGATTATCAAATTTCATTTTTGTCCTGGCCATTTCTCCTAAACTATATTGTTCACAAGGCGACACATCCGACTCGCGGAGTTCTAGTTGACCTGTTTGTTACAAATGAACTGAGTTGTTATAAAAAGAACATTTTAGTAGAAACATATAATGAAGTTATCAAATAATTGCTTGCATATGCTTGAACTTTGATCAGTATTGTTTTTTATATGTTAGATTGGAAGTTAGTTATAACTATTGATATGTCTTATTGGAAAACATTAAGAAATGATCTCTTCTTGTACTTTTGATGTATTTGTTATGTACGTGTATATTATAGGCATCAGCTGCAGAGTTAGCCAAGCACGTGTTAGCGGAGGTACCTCAGCAAGTGACACATTACTACAACTGGAGGGGGATGCAGCCTAACCAGCAACCTCCTCGTACATCGTAAATCCCCATACAACAGAATGAACTCTTAGAATACCAGAGGATACTCTGAACTGTCAAATCTTTTACAATAGGCGGAGCTTTACTTTCAAATTCTGTAGTGCATGTCAGTACTTTCTAACAAAACAAGATAAGGTGTGTTTCATCTTGTATAAACAAAGTCTTCCTTTTATGAACTTTGAATATGTATTTATACAAGTACAAAGATATAGAAATGTTATACTGTTCTTTTAATTATTTTGTGAACTAACAGTTTGGGTCTTGTTGATAAATGTATAAATATATTCAACTTTTTTTGCTCAAACTTACATTGGACAAAGGTTAGATGTAGAAATTCAAGTAAATATCCCCATACTTTATTACTATTATGTTATATTGCTGTGAAGAATTGTTAATATTTTCTTAATAACTCGAGACTCATGAATTTATAAGGTATTGTTGAACACTGAATGATCACCATTACATGTATGTAGAATATGTTATACATGTAGGTATCTATTTTGAGATAGGTTTGGTTAATTAAAAAGTTAGTAGTAATATTGTAGCTTGTAAGTGGAAAATGTAAAATCATTTTGTAAAAATGATTACATGTAATGATCAGAGCAAAGAAATTTTTATTTATTCTTGTGCCATAGAATATGTACTGCAAACAGTTAACTTACTTGTGAATCTCTTTTTCAGATTTGTTTTCTAAAGAAGCACTTGTAATGTGCATAATACTTATAATATTGGTATATTTTTATAAAGGTATAAATTCGTTGTTAAAATATTTTTATTACATTTTGAAGAAATTTGTAAGAAGAATGGGCAAATCTCTGTTAGATATATGGGATAAATTTGGTATAAAACTAGCTGTATAAAATATATACATGTATACATAGAGTTGTTTAGTTGATTTCTCTAATTTTCATGACCCCATTTTGTAAATTACATATAAAAATGAGTCTTGTCATAGGCTAGTTTGTAGTCAGTTTATTTATTCATACTTTATACGGTGGTTTACACTAGATATATACGGTGGTTTACACTAAATATATACGGTGGTTTACACTAAATATATATGGTGGTTTACACTAAATTTATACGGTGGTTTATCAAAATATGATAAGGGTAATGTGCACACCAGAAGAAGCTCTTGACTGAAGTTTTGTGTAAATCGTAATAAAGGTGGTTTTTGTTCTCAACACAGAGATTGTCTTACAGTAAAACACACACTAAGATCTAAGCATCTTGTTTGGTTTTAAAATATTAGGTTATAAACATTTAGGAAGGTTAATAAATTTGTGTTACCTAGATCTTGGGTTGATAGAGCACATAATTTAATTGATAATAACTACACAAGTAAAATTTGCAATACAGATAAGAACATGTGAAGATAGAATTGGTTAAGTAAATACATGATTTATCAGGTAATAATTGATCTTTTGAATCTGGTAAGTATGAACCATATCAATGTAATAAAACTATACAAATGTGCACAAAATGTCATCATGAACATTTTATCATAGTAAAATCGTCAACAAATATATTTATCATTATGTGCAATAGATATTTTTTACTCTTTAAATCTGCATTTTGTTTTCAATTTTCTAAAATTTGCTTCTTTCTCAAAATGGAAGTATGGCTTTGGCAAAATGGATCTGTTCTTCAATCTTTTTTTTACATTGATTTGACACTAGTATTAGATATTAAATATCCAGCATGGCATTCAATAACAAGTTGTGTGCACATTTTCCAGTTTAAACTGGACTATAATTAGATAAATATAGTGTATATAGTGAGAGCTATCATTCTCATCTGGGTGATGGTGTATGCATCCATGTCAACATTGCTCCTTGGTTAAGATTTTAGTAAAATTTCACTCAAGGAATTGACTGAAATATTCCCTTAAAATTTATAATACTTGTTAGGAAATTTGGTAAAGGTTCTCATACCATTCCGCTTTTTCTCTCATTGAACCCTTAAGAAAAATTGCTTTGAAACATGGAATGTCATGACCATTAAACCCATGTCTAATCAATAATTTATTAATTTATACATAGTTATGCTCCATTTATGACTTTTCACAGACATGTTATATTCATTTCACAACATTTATTTTTGAGCCGACATTCTCTATATTGTGTTCAGATCTACATGTATTTTTATCTAAGTCATTTACCTATGTAGTTATATAAATAACTTTCCTTACACAAATTATTGCATGTTATATTACAACTTTATATTATATTATATTCTACATGTATTATATACTACTTAGGTTCAAGACAGTCACAAATTACAAGTCAGAAAGAATTAAGACGTGTGCATTTAATACCTATTAAAAGTAACATTTTTACATTATTGTAAAAGTATTAGATTTGGGATAATTATGAATACTAAAGTATGTATAACTTATTTAAGTGACATATGCAAACATATACTATCAAGACAATATATATAATTACATCAAGGAATGCACCCGGCCAAATGGATCTGTAAGTCACATGTTTCACAACAAAACATATCACATGAAAACATTGGTTAAGCGATTCAATGGTGAAAATAATACTTTGGATTTTTACATAATTAAGCTATAGTTAATTTTATATTAAATTTAAAGGAAAAAGTGATCTTCCGTCCATGGTAATACTCGGGTCATATTATTTGTATGAACTTTTATTATATATCACATCAAATGTAGGTATAGTAGTTATATAGTGGGATAATACAATATCTAATAGAAATAGTGGGAATTTTTCTAGCCCCCTTACTTATCAAATATTCAGACATTTATGGTTTATGCAGTCTTTGATGGGGGTTCAAGAAAAGAAGTGATAATTTGTTTTAAGTTATTTTGTTTTCATCTTGGTGCTGTCTCAATATAAACATTTCTTTCTTTTTCTGTATATGTAAACACTTATGTTTAACTCCCTTTTGCTTAAGTGACAGCATGTTCCACAAGAAATCATGAATAAATTATATATCACAATAGTTTTTCTATGAAACCAAATTTTTATAGTCCATTAGAAAGTAAGATATGAATAAATTAAAATTTAAATCAGACAAATTTTAAAAAAGTTTTAACAAACTTAACTTTATATTTCAAACCATATCAGACATTTTGTGATCAAATTTATGCATTATTTGTTGAAGTTTTCAATTTGTTATGCAGTTTTTGTTTTTATATATATATATATACATGTATTTATCATACATTTATTGTAGCAATATATGTTAGAAATCTAAGGTCTTTGTTGGATGTTTTTATCTTTCAATGCATTTTTATGACACACATTTTTGTATTTTATGTTGTATTGCATTTATTTATATACATACTGTGTCCAAATGTTTATTAGAGTTTCATTATTGAATGTTACATTTGAGCTGGGTCTAGCAATTTCGGACCTTGTATGGTATATAAATAGATTCTTCAGTTTTAACAGAATAACTTTTAAAAGAGCTCACTGAGGTAAAGAAGCCTATAAATATAAAAACTGAAAGTCTTAATGGATCAAGTAATGCACATAAAATGTCAAAGTTTTCTCTTACAATTTTCTTTTTTATTTGTTGATAGTATTGCTCTTACAATTTTCTTTTTTATTTGTTGATAGTATTGAAAATGGGCAATATTTTTTTTTAGTTTCTGACATTTTATTCTGTTATCATTTTTTCATCTGTCTTATTAACATTAATAAAGTGTTTAAATCTGTAGATATCATTATTGTTTTCCCTCTCCCAACCCCACATATTTCAAATTTGCTAACATAGTAATTATCCCCCGCCGATGGAATCGGGAGGGGAATATTGTTTTGGCGTTGTCCATCCTTCCGAATTTCATTTCCGGACTAGTTCTCTGCAACTACTGGCTGGAATTCAAAGAAACTTTATGGGAATCATCAATATCAAGAGGAGATGCGCATATCGTCAGCTTGTTCCAGTCAGACCCTTTAACTCAGAGTTATGGCCCTTGATTAGTTATGCAGTATGCATTTAGAGCAAAAATCGTTTCCGCCCTACTTCTCTGCAACTACTGGCTGGAAATCATCAAAACTGTATGGGAATTATTAAAACCAAGAGGAGCTGTGCATATTGTTGCCTTGTTGAAATTGTTCAGACCAGACCCTTCATTACAGAGTGATGACCCTTGATTAGTTATGTAGTATGCATATAGAGCAATATTGCTATTTCTTTGCAACTGCTGTATTGATTTCAACAAAACTTTATGGCAACCATGGATACACAAAGGCAATTTACATCTCATTGGCATGTCCAGATATTACTATTTAACACAGAGTTATGGCTCTCACAGTTATTGCCCTGAATATTTATCAAGTACAAAGAATATTACTGTTTATGCCATGATAAATAAAGCCTTATGTCTTCAGTTGTTGTGTTAGTAATAACCAGTACTCGGCGGGGGATATAAATTCAATGAATTTGCTTGTTATATGTAAAATGCTATGACTGATTCTTATAAAATAACTGCATTGGTAGAGTTTGATATCATATGAGCCGTGTCATGACAAAACCAACATAACGGGTTTGTGACCAGCATGGATCCAGACCAGCCTGCGCATCCGCGCAGTCTGATCAGGATCCATGCTGTTCGCTTACAAACCCTATAACAAGTAGAGAAACTTATAGCGAACAGCATGGATCCTGACCAGACTGCGCGAATGCGCAGGCTGGTCTGGATCCATGCTGGTCGCAAACGCATTACGTTGGTTTTGTCGTGACGCGGCTCATATACCAAAAACACACTAACATGTACCGGGATGGTACACATACTGTAAAATCTGCTAAAAGAAACTATATTGCATATTGATAAAGTCACAACATTTATCTCTATGCAACAAATGCAGATTTACAAATACAAATGTTCCATGTATATAAATTTCAAATGTGTGTATAAATATTTGTCTGTTTATTTGTTAATTTTAGCACAACAATCACTGACATACAGCTGTTATGAAGTGGGCATAACTTATTACAAAAAGAATATGTGCTTGAAATGACAGAGGTAGTCATTTGATGCATCAATGGATAGTTTACAATACGATTTATTGGTTACTTAGAAATAAATTTATATATATCAAAGCAAGTGTAACATTTATTCGTCAACAAGAAGGGCATCAAAAACAACAAATTATTGTTATGGTCTTGTTCAGTTTTCAACCCTGGCACTGCCCATCATCACTCTCGGGGACTTCCATATCATACACCAAGATATACAGTACATAGAATGGACAAGTTATAAAATTTGGGGTAATACGAAACTATTAACAATAAATTTTCATAAATAATTATTTATTCATACAAAAAAAACAAGTCCATAAATACTGATACCACTGTATTTGTATAAAAGTACAGGTAATACAAATTTCAGTTTTGAAAAAGTCAAATTTTCATGATTTCAAAGAAGAAAGATAAAATATTTTGCAGATTTTAGAAAGTACAACAGTACAGCAAACTAGCCTCGCTGTATATGACTGGGTATAGACCAGACACTGCTGTTTCTAGCACTTACTGAGTTAACAGAACACACAATATTAATGGTCATATCAATTACTAAATTAAATATTAATTAAAGGAACTCCACTGAGGTCCATCAGCCTTAGAAAAATGAAATTTGAATTTCTTACATAGATCAGCATAGGCACTTAAAACAGAAAGATATACAAATGATGATTTAAAAATATACTCGAAAATGAATTGAAAATTGTATTGTTGTGATGTTCTTAGCCCTTTTGAAAAGATTTGCGACGCTATTCAAAGTTGGGTCAATTTTTAAATTTGAAAAATTATTCTGGAAAAAAAGAGTGCGCAAATGATCTGAAATTTTGCACACAAGCTATTGGTCTAGACATACATCAAAAGAAACATCAATCTTAAAAAAAAAATTTTTTCAGTCTCATCATGTCAAAATACCTCATTGGTGTCCCTTTAATATTAAATTATTAATATTAATTAAACATGCTACCTAAATTAGAAAAATAAAGCTGAAGACCAAGTAAATTGCAAAAACAATATATACAAGTCATGTATATTTAACTATTTCAATATAAAACACACAATCTTATTTACTTTGCTCATAACAATTTAATAGAGTGTTATATCCAGTAATATTATAACAATTATCTATTTATATAAAATGAGACTCAAATAGATCAGTTATTTTAGCAAATAAGTATGTCTGGTGAAATTTGTGCCCAATTTTTAGACAAAAAAAAACAACAAACATACCTCCAACTTTTTTATCTGTAATAAATCTTAAGTTAAAAATGATAAAATCTATATTAATTGTGTACTTTTTCACTAGTGTTCCTGTGAATTAAGGCCACCAAAGGAAGAGATAAATAAGGGCTTTTATATACAAGTGGTCTTTATTTCGAGGTTAATTTTATTTAATTTTATCAATGATGGATTATTAATAACTAGCCTTTATTTACAGGATTATCTTAACTCAGATGTGTTCTTTAACACATGTTAGACTGTACATATTACATGTTTTACATGATTTAAAGCTGGTATCACTAACTAAAAGTTCTTGATAATATTCAAATAATATTATCATTCTGAGATAAACCTTTAAATGTTATAATGCCCATTTGTATTCATAAATTTTATGTCCCCCAAAAATATTAAAGAATCCCCATTATTCACCATCAAAGATATTGGTTTTCAGAGTTGCCTGGCATTTTAACATAACATGCGATTGCTTACACAAAGTAGAACAAGAGCACCGCTAGGCGGAGCATTATATGCCCGAAAGTGATCTTTTTTTTTTAGTAAAGATGAAGCATTTGTCAGACATGGGAATTAAATAAAGTAATACCTCCTTCAAATAACAATCCTCGTATGAAGTTTGAATATTGTGGTCCAAATGGAACTTAAGTTATGCCCCAGAAACTGTTTTCAGTTTTAAGGTAATAGTGACTTTGACCTTGTGACCCCAAAATCAATAGGGGTCTTCTACCCAAAATATGGACAATCATACTATGAAGTTTGAACAATGAGGGCCAAATGAAACTTAAGTTATATTCCGAAAATTGTTTTCAGTTAGATGGTAATAGTGACCTTGACCTTTGACCTTGTGACCCTAAAATCAAAAGGTGTCTTCTACCCAATATGGACAATCATCCTATGAAGTTTGAACACTGTGGGCCAAATGGAACTCAAGTTATGCTCCAGAAACTGTTTTCAGTTTTAAAGTAATAGTGACCTTGACCTTTGACCTTGTGACCTCAAAATCAATAGGGGTCTTCTACCCAATATAGACAATCATCCTATGAAGATTGAACACTGTGGGCCAAATGGAACTTAAGTTATGCTCCGGAAACTGTTTTCAGTTTTAAGGTAATAGTGACCTTGACCTTTTGACCCTAAAATCAATAGGGGTCTTCTACTCAATATGGACAATCATTCTATGAAGTTTGAACACTGTGGGCCAAATGCAAATTATGTTATGCTCCGGAAATTGTTTTCAGTTTTAAGGTCATAGTGACCTTGACCTTTGACCTTGTGACCCCAAAATCAATAGGGGTCTTCTACTCAATATGGACAATCATCCTATGAAGTTTGAATATTGTGGTCAAAATGGAACTTAAGTTATGCTCCGGAAACCAAATTGCTAACGGACGGACGCCAGGGGGTATAACATAGTATGCCCGAAATTCTTTCAGGCATATAAAAAGTAAATCAATGACAATGTTAAATAAGTTATATGCAAGAACATAGTACATAACCTTACCCAGAGGCTTAATATATAAACTACCAATTTTCATAGTATAAATAATAATATTTCACATACCATGATTGTATAAGATATATATAAATAATTTTTAATATGTCATGCAGATAGCTGACTACAAACTAAAGTCTAAAAAATCTGTCCATGTGTTTTAATTTGAAAATACATTATTCAAATATATTAATGTATAATTCGTAATCAATGAATACATATATAAAATACATGTGCTGTCACTATATAAGAGAAAATATCTCCAATGTTTTTGTTATCAATGTACATATTCCTTCAATAAAGATTATTTAATTCTAGTATGAATTAGGTAAACTCCTAGGTGATATTCATATAACATTATCCTAGATAAACCTAAATGAAAGAACAGGTCATGGATTTTGGTGTTGTTTTTTTTTAAGTTTTCCAAAACATTATTTCATTTGAATAAGTTATTAATAATAAAACCTTTTTTTATTTTTTAACAGGCCATGGATTTTGGTATTTTTAAAAGTTTAAACTTACCAATTTTTTTTAATTTCATTTAAATTAGTTATTTTTGATAATAAAGGCATTTAATATTCAATACAAAGTACTCTAACACTACAAATATCACTGTACATGTATATATCATGAAAATTAAAATAAAATATTGCAAACAGTAAGGTTTTGAATATGACTTTTTTTGCAAAAAAATGTAAATAAAGAAACAACATAAAAAGTAAACAGTCTCAACAACATCATCCAATCTAGCTTGAAGATTTGAAAAAATAATCTTTTTTTTTTCAATCAAATAATCATAAAATACAGAAGAGATTTTATCTGAAACTTTAAGAAGCCAAAACTCTAAGAAGCCAGCAAGAAAGAATCCTGTATACAACTTTATATCTTATATTCTGAATATACAACAGTAAAACAATACAAAATATCTAAATGAAGAAAAAAATTATGGATTCAAACATGTCAATAACTTGTTCAACATGATTCTTATATTTAGTAGCCAACAAAAACTTAACAATATTCAAAATATTGGTCCCATTATGACCTATGTAATAATATACATATCATCACCTAAGTGCCATAACATGTTAACTCTTCTTGTTTCTAATAGGAGTTTACCCCATTACTACACTAAGGTGACAAATTATGTACTTCAAGGAGTATGGGAAAAATAAAACATCCAACTATTTTGCGATAATTATGTATGGAAGTACTTTTAATAAAAATTCACATTTTAGAAATAAGACTTAAATACAAGAATTCTTGTACAGCTAGGCTAAAAGAGTAAAATTATGTCTGGACGGATGACAGAATGTTTGCATAATTTAGATGTTTATTTGGTATGTAAGGAAAGGTATGTATTGAGAGGGCATTTACATGGGGAACATAAATAATAAATGTAGCTTTATCCTGAATGAGTTTTGTTCTAGTATATCAACTAATATCAGCTCTCTACCATATCTGTATGATCAATTCTCTTGAGTTGACGATCTATTGCGTATACAAGTTAAGTATTTTGTGGGCGTGGTTGATTGGGCTGGATTTTTCTCCATTCATAGTATTGCGTAACTTGCTGTGGAACCTCCGCTAGTACGTGCTTGGCTAGCTCGGCTGCTGACGACTGAAATAACAAATTTAGAAAACACTTTTATCATATAATTCAAATAGAAGCTATCTAAAATGAGACTATTATTTTATTCTTAAAGAAATATTTTTTTCTGCATTCAAGTTTAAGATTTTAGGAAACAGATATCAATTTTGAGTGCATTGTTGTAGGATAATGTATTGTTAAAGTTCAAATGTGTAGGAATATAATTAAACAGGCTGATATGCCTGAGTGATAAATTACAAAGCATTTGAACAATAAACCATGCATTATCATACTATAAATTGTTTATATCTAGATTTTGAAATAGGTAAGAAATACTGTTGTCAAGATTAGAATTGTATCTTAGTAATTTTCTTGTAATATTTCCTTCAGCAAAAAATTATACATTGTACATAACAAAAGTAAAACAGTTCAAAATGATACAGAGTAAAACAATTTTAAGACAACATTAAAATACTGGCAGAAAATCAACAGAAACTAATATATACTACATGTTACAGTTATAACATTTTTTACAATATAAAGAACAGAGGAAGATCACATGAGGACACCCAAGATATTATCAAGTATCAAGCATTTCATCATAAAATAATCATGTTAAAATAATCAGAAAGAAGCACTGAGGAAGTAAAAAGGCATTAGAGATGGATTTTATTGTGTTAGTTATAAGATTTTTGACAGGTTATATGGTCAAGTATAAACAGCTGTAAGAAAAGATGACCTGAGCCATTAGGTGAGTGTTATATTGTGAACAAAGCCATAAAATTAGAGCTGTCATTGATTCAGTGCAAAAAACTCGTATCATATTGACGACTAGATATATAGATACCAGTGATATATCAATATATTACTTGCCTGCAATTCACTTTCAAACCCAATTACGGAACAAGTGCTCTAAGGCTTTCTCGGGTGACTGTTAACTAAGGACATAAAGGATGAGTAAACAAAGAAGTCAAACTTCAAATGAAATAAGACAGAGAGAGAAAAGCATGCACAAAATTACTGCATCACTTACAGTCTTGAAATCTCTGAAGGGTACAAATTGAACAATATCTCTGTAAACAGGCTGTCCGTTAGGGGCCTTCAGAACACCATCATCCCCGTCTAACATCTGCATGTCAGTAAAATCAGCTTCACCTACACCAACTATAATAAGAGACATTGGCAGAGCTGAGGCTTGAACTATTGCACTTCTTGTATCATCCATATCTGTTATAACACCATCTGTCAGAAGTAACAGGACAAAATAGGCCTGTAACAAGATAAAACACACAAAAATATAGTAATACAGAAAAATGTTTGTACAGTTTTCACCCTTAAGCTGAATGGATATTTTGAATGGACTAGTCCGGTTTCCATTTTTGGACCTGTCCACTATCAATTGTTGGAAAATTTAGGTGAAAATTTACAGTCATTTAATAAGTAGTACAGTGTCTGGTCAGGTGGCAGGGATGTGCATACTGACCTAGCTCTTTACTGGTTCTTATGTCTATTCCCTGAAACTTTATATGGACTTTTCCAAAAAATTTAGAGTACGCCAAATCCATTACATAAATTCAGCATGTTAAGCATCTTGAAACGGTGTTACATTTAAGAATGCAAAACAAAAAGATTTCCAATGTGTCTTTTTCCAAATTTACACTTTTTTTATAAAATCTTCTTTCAATGATAATATATAGTCACAAACATCAGAAGTAAATCTTACATGAGCACCCTTGGTGGCCTCTTCAGTTTGAGCTGCAGCAGCAAACTTGGCTACATGGTGAATTATTGGTGCTACATTGGTTGGTCCCCATAACTGTATCTGAGGTATACAGTTCTGATATGCTTGAACAATACCCTGTATACCTACAATATAAACTCTACATATTTACATGTATTGTGAAAAGTTGCTCATATAGGGTGAATGTCATAAATCAACAATTAAAAACGCTAACCATAACTTTTTTGGAAAAGTTTCTATTCAATATAAAACTACACAATACATAAAGATTTTGTGCATGAAGCTCATTCAACTTTATAGTGACAGTATGCCAATCTAAGGGTTATAGTGGGTCAAAATCAGTTTACATTTTCATGATTTTGCCATAATTCCTTTCAATTTCATAATTTACTTTGTATGAACAATAAATAACTCAAATGGCCCAAGGAAACTTCTATAAATACCCATCAGAATTTACATGTAACGTTTAGTTTATAAAAAGCATGGGACAGTCTTTTTATACTTTAGGAAGATTTATATTATATCCTTAACATTTTCCACTATCAACTGTTCGTCAACCACCATTATAACAATTAATCTTTTGAAATATATATATGGTCAATTCAGCTCAACTTGACAATGAATAAATGATCATAATGTCACTTTAATGATGATTATTGTGTATATTTCCAGCTTGCATCATTCATGTATATACAGCATGTGTTGAGGCATTATAACATGTATTTAAACATAACAACTTTTATAGATTTAGCAACAGATTGTTGAATCACAAAATTAAAACATCCTTAACAACACATAAATCATACAAGCTTTTGAAGTATTAGATTTTAATTCATTTTTACATATCAGTCAAAATTATCTTAATAACAATTTTTAATAAAACAATACGATTTTAAATTCAAACTAGAGTTGATTTCTATATTCAAACTTACTTATGGTCAGTGACATACATTAGCCTAATAATAAAGTTTAGGTCAAAATTTATGAATGGCCCCTTAAAAACTTAATATCTTCTTGCAACATCGGACAAGATTATCTTCAGTTCACACTGGTGCTAGAAAACCCTACCTTACATCCCCTCTGCAAGACAAATTGCGTGCTTTAAATGAGATTATTCCTGGGTACCTTTTATGTAAGAATTGCTTTCTTAGAATGATGTAATTTTGCCATTATGAATATTGTAAATTCATACTCTACTATAAGAAAAAAGTGTAAACAAAAAAAATTCTTTCCGAAAAATTATAAACATCAAACACTGGCTGTTGTCATAGACATGAATATCTAGCTCTTAGGTAACTGTTGAGTGAAAACTTGCCGCTGTAAACAGTTACCCTCAAGCTATTTTGGTCTGTACCTGTATACCTATGACTTGTTTAAGAACTTTATAGTTTTTCACTAACGAACATGCATTTGAAGAAAAAGGTGATTTTTTTCACAAACCAGTGTACTTCTTCATATGATATTCTATTACAACCATATTACACCTACCTGCACAGAATGGATTCTGGGGGTTAAAGTTCATAGCAAACTCATGTGAAACTTTATTGTCTGGTGGAATCTTAGCTCCAAATCCTAGAGCTGGGAACATCTTATCTCTAAAATTGAAAAGTTGATATTGTATCATCATTTCCTAACACATAAATGTACAAACTTTTCTTGATATGAGACATTCCTTATTGATGCTTTGTCTATCTCTCTTTAGTCAGGAGCAAGTTTAATTTTTGTGCCATATATAACACAAGTAACAAAAAAAGAGACAACTGGTTTTCTCATAGGATTCAATTAAAAAAGTATCTATGTTATAGCAGGGTCTTCCAAAATTTCTATGGTTATAGTGTAAATTGCTAGTATCTATATCAAAGACTTGTCAACCTGTCAATCTTGCCAAAACAATTTGTAATTTTTATGAAAATTTTGAAAATATATACAGACTGAATATCCCGCAGAACAGCCCATGATCAGATGGCACGGATAGGCTGATCTTGGTCTGCGCATGTGGCTTGGGTAAAAATCAGATACTGCTAGCAGGCAAAGTGTTACAAGATACTTATTTAAATTTATTATTACATACGTATCATAGTCCTGGCATACCATCCCCACTGCCTGTATTGCCTGCATATATTCATTAGGTTGGTATGGATTGATGTAATGTAATGATCTTGGATGTGTTGGGTCTCCATTAGATCCTGTAAAATCTACACCCACCTACAATATAAGACAATAGTTACATCATAATTTATAATGTTTATCCATACATGTGATATTTTTCAATGTTCAAAGGGGAGAATTTACTTCAAAATGAGGGAGATTTTAGAATATACAATAGATATAAAATGAAATTTTGAAATGAAAAAGAGGGAGATTTATAATTTTGTGAAAACACCCCTTATTTTAGAAAAATTATCTGAAAATTTGACAGTCAAAATAGGGAGTCTCCCTCTTAAATAGGGAGATATTACATGTATGTTTATCATAAAGAATAATTTTGTATGAATGCGGCATTTTTGATTCATAACAGAACAGAAAGTTATTTGTTGACGTTAACACCATCCTTGTTTTATTTGATATGTTACAAATAACCTAATATACAAATGAGAAAAGCATAAATAGAGGATATTGAATAAGCATAAATTTGATACTGAATTTGACTAAACAAGTTGAAAAAAATCCTATTATGCCAGCCTCTGGCAAGTATATTGTATTATTAAACAAGTTGAATAAATTAAGTATTGAATTTACACTAATACATGTATAATATTCTTTTTATCACATACCCAAAATAAGTACTGTTAACAGTAAAAAGAATCACTTTTTACTTTTTCATTGAAACAATTATTATTTATAGTGTGTCATTACGTTATGTTTGTCTAACACAAATGATGTCACATCAAAATATATGCATGGTCATATGATACCAATTTTATGGAGTCACCAACGTAGCATGGGTAAGTAATAAAGTGCTATATTTCATCAAGTATTTGATGAATTTTAAAACATTGTATCAGTACATAAAAATTGGATTTCATTCAAAACTTACGAAAACAAATATAATTTCAGTTAACAATGAATTAAAAAGTCAAGTACATTCCTCATGTATTCAATACTAATTATAATTATGAAACATTTAAAGCTGGAAATCATGAAGAATACATACTGTAAAGTTAATCTGCATCCCTCCATAAATGAACTCCAAAAATGATGCAACTTTCTTCAACTGAAATATAACAACAAGTTCCCTTAAGTTTTAATATATTTATTAAAGTTCCATTGAGAAACATGCTCTTGCAACTTGTATTATTCACTTTGGAGTACGCTTCCTGGAACTAACCAGTACTGATAATATATTAAGAAACATGGTTGTGACCCAGAGTAGGGCTCAAACCAACAATTCTTGGATTGAAAGGCAGATACCTTAACCACTAGGCTGCCATTCTTCTCCAGGTTCCCTTACTCTATCATCTTTAAAACAAACAAATACAATAACTGTTTACTATCTTTTCATCACTTTAATGAATTTCTTAGAAAGTAAATGTAAGTAACAAAATCTCTGCTTGGTGTCACCATTAACCCCCCATAATTTTAATTTATAATGTACAAGATTGTCTAACTGTTTTCAAGGTATATGTTGACAAAGAAAATGCTATAGAGATAAATTATTGAAATTAAATTGCTAGTATTAATCTTAACCCTTAAATTCCCCCATGAGCATATTGTGAACAAGAGCTGTCGGTAGGACAGCAACGCTCGACTATTCTTAGTGCTTGATAGTAAAAAAAATGCTTGATACAGTTACCACCTCTTGTCTACAGGTTGGGGTCATGATGGTGAACAAGTGTGCAAAGTTTCAAAGCCATATGTCAATGGACTTTGAAAATATTTGAACTATTACAAAAACTTTAACGTAAATTCTAAGTCGAAAAGGGGGCATAATTCTGTCAAAATGCTTGATAGAGGAGTTACCCCCTGTCTACAGGTTGGGGGCATGATGGGAAAGAAGTGTGCAAAGTTTCAAAGCCATATGTCAATGGACTTGGAAAATATTTTAGGTGGTACCCAAACTTTAACATAAATTCTAAGTCGAAAAGGGGCATATTTCAGTTAAAATGTTTGATAGAGGTACCTTCTTTTGTCTACAGGTAGGCATGATGTTGAACAATTATGCAAAGATTAAAAGGCATATGTCAATGGACTTTGAAAATATTTGAACTATTACAAAAACTTTAACGTAAATTCTAAGTCGAAAAAGGGCATAATTCTGTCAAAAATGCTTGATAGAGTTACCTCCTCTTGTCTACAGGTTGGGGGTCATGATGGTGAACAAGTGTGCAAAGTTTCAAAAGCCATATGTCTATGGACTATGAAAATATTTGAACTATTACAAAAACTTTAACGTAAATTCTAAGTCGAAAAAGGGGCATAATTCTGTCAAAATGCTTGATAGAGTTACCTCCTCTTGTCTACAGGTTGGGGTCATGATGGTGAACAAGTGTGCAAAGTTTCAAAGCCATATGTCAATGGACTTCGAAAATATTTGAACTATTACAAAAACTTTAACGTAAATTCTAAGTCGAAAAAGGGGCATAATTCTGTCAAAATGCTTGATAGAGTTACCTCCTCCTGTCTACAGGTTGGGGTCATGATGGTAAACAAGTGTGCAAAGTTTCAAAGCCATATGTGTATGGACTTTGAAAATATTTGAACTATTACAAAAACTTTAACATAAGTGGTTACGCCGACGTCGACGCCGACGCTCGGGTGACTGCAATAGCTCTACTTATTCTTATCGAATAGTCGAGCTAAAAATGGCCATTTTCACTGAAAAGCCTCCTCTTACAAGTTCAAACTGCTATGAAACTATGAAAAATGCTTCAATACTAATCAAACTTGGCACAAATGTTGACTGGACCATTGCCTTTGTAACGACATGCTCAGTCTTAAATTTCCTGTTACCATGGCAACGAGGGGACATCTCAAAATTGCCAAAAATCACTATTTTGTCTCGATTTTTTCCATCAAAATTTATTTCAAAGTGCTGCAAATTCTCAAGGGATTGAGATAGAGTCAAAGGGTTTTCAGCGTTGGTTACACGTTACCTTATGATAGACCTGGGGTCATTTTAAGCCTCTCACAAGTCCAAAATTTTCTTGGCGATGAAGGGGAACTCCGCCCCCCTTCAAACCCCCCAAACAGAAAGGGGCACATCCCCCTTCTGGCAACCCCTTGATGTCTCTTTTGGATGGGGGGGGGGGGGGGGGCGGCGCCGAAAAAGTGCTCACTTTTTTTAGCAACATTTTCTCAAACGAAAGCATGTGTTTGGGGCCCAAATAGGACATTTTTTCACTATTTCAGGCCTAAAAAAGGGGGGGGTGGGTCGAAATTGCGTTGTTTCGCGTATATATGAGGTAACGAGTTAACAAAAAATGATGAAAAACTTTGGAATCACCCAAATCCAGTTTTTTCATGTTAACATGTGGCCTTTTACCTAATTTTGGTGAAAAATTGTTGTTTTGTAACATTTATAATTTTTTTTAGTTAACCCTTTCCCCCATCAGCATATTGTGAAAAATGGCCATTTTCACTGAAAAGCCTCCTCTTACAAGTTCAAACTGCTATGAAACTATGAAAAATGCTTCAATACTAATCAAACTTGGCACAAATGTTGACTGGACCATTGCCTTTGTAACGACATGCTCAGTCTTAAATTTCCTGTTACCATTGCAACGAGGGGACATCTCAAAATTGCCAAAAATCACTATTTTGTCTCCATTTTTTCCATCAAAATTTATTTCAAAGTGCTGCAAATTCTCAAGGGATTGAGATAGAGTCAAAGGGTTTTCAGCGTTGGTTACACGTTACCTTATGATAGACCTGGGGTCATTTTAAGCCTCTCACAAGTCCAAAATTTTCTTGGCGATGAGGGGGACTGCGCCCCCCTTCAAACCCCCAAATAGAAGGGGGCACATCCCCCTTCTGGCAACTTCCTGATGTATCTTTTGGATGGGGGGCGGCGCCGAAAAAGTGCTCACTTTTTTTAGCAACATTTTCTCAAACGAAAGCATGCATTTGGGGCCCAAATAGGACATTTTTTCACTATTTCAGGCCTAAAAAAGGGGGGGGGGGTCGAAATTGCATTGTTTCGCGTATATATGAGGTAAAGGGTTAAGAAGTAACAGGTGCCTCACCTTGAATGAATCAACAACTACGAATCCAGAGTTATCATACTTCTTCTTTTTAGCTTTTTTCTTTTCATTTATGCATGGAAACTGAAAGTAGACAGAAATGGGGTTCATATTTATTACAATAGACATACATCTTATCACTATAACAGAGAATATTTTTTTACATTAATAAGGTAGCTTACATCTCATGAAAAGAAGTCATGAAAAGGCTTACTGTTAGATACTACAGTAGCCAGTTTACAGGGGGGCCATCATGACCCAAAGTGCTCACCTGAAGACAGAACGGTAGAACATTGTCTAAAGTTTGACAAATTATTTTATAGGTAAAGGCCAATGTGATATTGACTTTTGACTTCTAAGTATTAGGATTGTTATGGTTTTAAAATTTTTACTAAATGTATGTACATGGTTACAGGGAAACCCCATGACAGCATACAAAAATGTTTCACTAAAACTTTAAAGTAATTCTGATTATTCGGGAAATGGACAAAAGCCCTCCCATCCAAAAATGACAAGGCGGACAAAAGCCCTTCCGTGAAAATGACAGGGTGGACAAAAAAAAACAGGGCTTTTGTCCACCTAGTTAATTTCATGGGAGGGCTTTAGACCGCCCCGTCATTTTCAAAGATGGGCTTTTGTTCACCTTGTCATTTTTTGGATGGGAGGGCTTTTGTCCTACACTCAAGTAATTCTAATCAAGAGGAAGCCAGTATACACTGAAGCAGGCCAAATGACAATAGAGCATCTCACATATATTAAATTAAAATATATGTTTACATCATTGAATGGTTTTAGAAAAAGATAATGTTGATATTCATTGAACAGTTTAATTTAAGTAAAAAAAATCAGCGTTATATATATATATATATGTGGTGGGTTGGGTAATGCGGCAATGAGCGTTCTAATGAGAGCCTAGTTAGAACGCGGTGATGAGACATTGGACCCCAAAATGAGCGTTTTAATGAGGCTGAAGTGTATATAACAATAATATGCATATTTAGTACAATACTATACCCTAGATGCTGGTTAAGAAATGATTAAAAGATTCGTTTAAAAGTAAATAATACCTGATAAATTTAAAATGAGGAGGTTCTTTTTCACCTTTTTTAGCTCATATTTTCTTGTTGACCTAGTTTATTTAACATGTAACTGATTTTACCACAGGTATTTATAAATGAAACGCAAATTCAAATAATTCAACCCGAAACCATTCACAACCATTAAGCTTCATTTAACATGGAAAATTATTATGTGTAAAGATACGTCAAAGCCATTTAGTATGTCAAATAAAGTCAAACAGTGTCATATGATTGGCAAATTCACCTCTAGCTGTTTGATATAATGATCATGTGTAATTTTGATCAGATGGTTTGACATTATTCAGATCAATTTTGAAATTAAATATAATTTAACTCTAACTTATTTACCTTTAATTTTTATGTTAAAGTACAACTAACATTACTAAATGACTTAAGGATTACTAAAGAACAAAACTGTTTCACTACAATTTAGGAGTCCGCTGTAAAATTTATCATTTATTCAGTTTTCTTTACCAGAAAGATTAATTTACCATTTAATTTTAGGTGTCAAATAAACAAAACACAAACTAACAAATTAACTCCAATGTATATAATTATTATAAAGTTGAAAAAAATAGTACAATTTAATAGTCTTCTATTACTTAATTGACAGCAAGGAAAGGTTCGTACATGTACCTGTCAATTAACGTCAAAATTTATCATTTTTTTCAACTATTTTGTATTACCAGTAATAAAGCTTCAAAATTCATCTCTCATGAAAAGCACCAAATTTCGCTTTGTTACATAAATCTTAGGACTTTTAAAAAATGACCAAAAATTTATGTACAATATAAATAAAAAAAAAGAAATATCAAAAACAAAGGAATGAAAGATTCAGATGAAGTAAATATTGAAGAGCGATGATGAAGTAAATATTGAAGAGTGATGAAGTAAATATTGAAGAGTGGAAGATAAAATACTGAGAGGATAAGATGAAAAAGTTATTTAAGAATGGAAGATAAAAGAATGAAATATTGATGAAGGATTACAATATTAAAGAATGTAAGATAACAAGAGCTGTCTGTAGGACAGCACGCTCGACTATTCTAAATGCTTGATAGTAAAAGAGCCTTGATAATGTTAAATTTTTAAGTTCACAAAAGGGCTAATACAATTATGACCCTCCAATTATGACCCTAAGTGCATGTGTAAAGTTTCAAGTAAATATCTTTGAAGACCTTTAACCAAAATTTCTAAGTTTCAAAGAGGCAAATAATTCTGCAAATATTGCAGGCAGAGTCATGCAATTTTGCAAACTGATGTACATTGTTACTATAAAAAAGTATTTAAAATTTCAATTGAATATCTCAAGCAATAATTGAGATATTTGACTTTACAAAAAACTTTAACCAAAATTTCTAAGTTCCAAAGGGGCATAATTCTGTCAAAATTGTAGGCAGAGTTATCCAACTTCTCAATCTGATGTACCTTGTTACTATAAATAAGTATTGTAAGTTTCAATTGAATATCTCAAGCAATAATTGAGATATTTGACTTTACAAAAAACTTTAACCAAAATTTCTAAGTTAAAAAGGGGCATAATTCTGTCAATATTGTAGGCAGAGTTATCCAACTTGTCAATCTGATGTACCTTGTTACTATAAATAAGTATTGTAAGTTTCAATTGAATATCTCAAGTAATAATTGAGATATTTGACTTTACAAAAAACTTTAACCAAAATTTCTAAGTTAAAAAGGGGCATAATTCTGTCAATATTGTAGGCAGAGTTATCCAACTTGTCAATCTGATGTACCTTGTTACTATAAATAAGTATTGTAAGTTTCAATTGAATATCTCAAGTAATAATTGAGATATTTGACTTTACAAAAAACTTTAACCAACGCAGACGCGGACGCCGGGGCGACTACAATAGCTCTCATATTCTTCGAATAGTCGAGCTAAAAAATGGAATATTGAAGAAGGAAATAGTGAAGAATGAAAGATAAAAGAACGATATATTGATGAAGAAAATATTAAAGAATGAAAGATAAAAGAATTGAATATTGATGAGGAAAATATTAAAGAATGGAAGATAAAAGAATGGAAGATAATGTTGAAGGAAATATTTATTAATGGAAGAAAAAGAATGAAAGATAGATGATGGACATATTTAAAGAATGGAAGAAAAAAGTGGAAGATAAAAGAATGAAATATAAAAGGATAAAATAACAAAGGATGGACAACAGAAGAATGGATGATAAAATACTTAAAGGAGTGAAGAATAAGAAAAAGAAAGAATAACTTCAACAATGAAAGAATAAAAAGAGAAAGTAATTAGAAGAGAAAATGAAAGGAAACCTGACAAATGAATAATAAAGATTTAGAAGCCTTTTGAGCCTGTCTTACTTTAGATAAACATCAAAGATAGACAACTTAATAAAATATTCTAGTAAGAGAATGATAAATACTTCTGATACTGAGTAATTACAACATGTGTTACCTGAGAACAATACGGACATTTACTAGAACAGCCTTTATTTCAACATCATAATCTCTTATGATAAATCTCTCACTGTTGTAATTGTGCTTACAGTGAAATATATACTACATGTATAATACTGGATGTATGTGTTTTCTAACAGCAGGATTTCATATTTAGATATACATGTAAATGTAGGTAAGTAAAAGGGGCATTATAAATTTAGTCCTTATGATGTCATGTACATAGGTAAAACATTCTGAGCTCCTCTCCTTTTACTTTCTTTGCACATTTATTACATTTACCAATTGTTTTAAAATGCCCTGTTGTTTTAATCATCCAATTGTCAATATCTACTATTTCTGAATGTAAAAGTAATTATTATATAATGTAATTCGGCAAGCCATAAAAACACACACATTTTTTCCCATCTTTGGAAATTGAAGAGATTTATGTGAATGTGTTTTCTGTTGCTTTTATCCTAGTACTTATGACACTGCCTTTTCTATTCACTTGCTCATTTGCTCTGTGGGTGCAAAACTTGCCAAGACCTTAAAGATGCGAGGAAGGTATTTAAAGGTAGTTTATAGAATGTTGGTTGTTTTAGTGCCTGCTTTGCCCTAAGTCTTTCTAACACTGACAGTCACAGTATGACTTAATAAGACCTAACAAAAAAGTGCCCAAAAATACCTGTATTTCATAATACAATTAACAGTTCTGATGTGCTCTGAATACAGTCTAACCGCCTCCGTGGTCGAGGGGTTAGAGTCGATGACTTCTAATCCAGTTACCTCTCTGACGTGGGTTCGATTCCCGAGAGATGCTTTGGTAGTTTAGCGCGGAGGAAGGTAGTCTAGTACTGGTGTAACTCTCCAGGAACGATGGTTAGGAAACTACCCGCCTATATGACTGAAATACTGTTGGGAAAAGGCGTAAAATGAAACAAACAAACAAACTGAATACAGTCACTGATACACAAGTTCAGAGAGTACAATAACTTTATACTTTATAAACAATTACTAAATAAGAAAACAAAATTGTCATTTTTATTTGTTTGGGTCGTCAGACCAAACAAATAATGGTAGCGAAATTTCAGACCCTGATGCTGTTAATTGCAAATGCCGAAAGTAGTCCGCTTCTTTGAAGCGGTTACTTCCCTTTATATGTACACTAACGCCGGAAAATTCAGGGGAGATCTCTGTGTAAAGATTGTCAAATGACAAGCGCATTAATTTTCAAGCAAAATAGTTCCTGAATGGTCGAAGATTTCTAATATTGTTTTATTCTTTATAGATATACATGCTTATAGTGAGCTCCATGATTATTTACATCTGTGTTAAACAACAGGTTTAGCGTCGAAATAATAAGAGTAACAAACCCTAATTTAGAATAATATGGTTTTCTTCAGGCCGTTCTCATATAACTTCACCGTGGCCGAGGGGTTTGCATGCTCGCTTAGGAATCGAGAGGTCTGGAGTTCAAATCCCAGTTGTGGCAACTTTCTTTTTTTTACATTTTTGAGTCAAATAAACATTGAATTGAATATCAGTGTTGCAATTAGTCTTATAGCCAATTTACTACAGTT